TTTGCCTCGTGGGCCACACTAGAGTGTGCTGTTCTTATCATACTGACAGTTCTGCTCTCCTGAGTAAACCCCAAGCTCCATTTCCCAGAAGCATGCTCTTTTCTCTGCTCTCATTCAGGCCCACGTAAGTATAGGAAGGAGGCCATTGAGGGTGGGAATGCTGGGTCTGAAAATACATCTTGAGACAAAGCTGAGGGAAGACTGAGTCATGGGAGCAAAGCCCAGGCTACTTTCCTCCCTTCCTTCCCCTAGCAACTCTTTGGTGGGGCTAACTTCTCTGCCAGAGAACCTTCCCCAGAGTCTTCATGGGCTAGAAAAGAACCCATAGAGGTCAAGAGGTCCAGGCCACTTAAATGTTAAATGCTATGCTTTTGTTCCTTGTGCGCAGCCAAGTGAGGAAGAAAGGTAGGAAACCATCTTCTTAGAATCAAGGACTTTGGCAACTGGAAGACGCTTAGAATCCATTGTATTTGGCTCTTTCATATTAAAAGTGAGGAGGCTTGGAACGCCTGGGTGGCTCAGTCAGTTAAGCAGCTGCCTTTGGCCCGGGTCATGATCCCAGGGTCCTGGGATCGAGTCCCACATCAGGCTCCTTGCTCAGCAGGGAGCCTGCTTCTCCCTCTCTCTGTCAAATAAATAAAATCTTTTAAAAAAATAAAAGTGAGGAGGCTTGTCTTCTCTAAGGTTACACAGAGAAGATAGACCTAGAATGCAAGTCTCTGGGCTTGCAGCCTGATGCTTTAATTTGTCACCCAGATGTCATCCAGAAGAAAAACCGGGCCTTTCTCCTCACTTGAGAATGGCCAGGCCTGCCTGCCAGAGGGAGTCTAGGGCAAGTCCTATGAGCTGGGTTTGCTGCTGGAAAGAAGCAGCTTCCTCCTCTCTCGGCAGCCTAGGCCAGAGAGCTGGCTCCATCCTTTGTTCCCTTAGCCCCTGGGCTCAAGGCAAGACTTCTGGTAGAGACTCGGGCAGTATTCCGCAGTATTCCGGCAGAATGCTTCCTCATTCTGTCTGGAATGAGGAAGGTGAAGTTGGTAAGGAAGTGCTCTGGGAGAGTTCCCAACCCTCTTTCGGCTTCTTCTCTGCTGTTATAACATCCAGAGTAGGTACCCTAGGGGCGCCTGGCTGGCTCAGTCAGTAGAACACAAAACTCTTGATCTCAGTGTCATGAGTTCAAGCCCCATGTTGGGCCCCACATTGGGCCTAGAGCTTAGTTTAAAAAAAAAAAAAAAAGGTACCCTAACTACAAAGGGATAAGGATTCTGGGGGCTACAGCCTAGGGTAAATGAGAGCCAGCTTGATGGTCAGGAAGTGATGTCCCTCCTCCCACAGCCTCTCCTTGTCCTCTCAGGATGGGGCCCAGCCCTTCACCCACACAGCTCAGAAGAGGCTCATGGAAAGGAGGGTGTAGGCTCTCACCTTGGGTATTGAAGTTGCCCTGTGATCCCACAGCAGAGGGAAACCTGAGTCTGGAGGCAAGGCAGACAGACATTTAACATTCCCTTCCATGCCCTGTGCTCTGGGTCAGCCTGGAAACAGGTAGAAGCCTCTGGGAGACTGGTCAGGTGATACCTGGAGCCTGTCCCTTCTGTCAGCCACCTGAGCCTCACATGTATCCCTGACTTGGCTCCAAGTTTACTGAGGTGAGAGTTCTGTTCTTTACCCAGAGCCAGAAGCTAGAGCTGTGGAAACTGAAAGACATGACTCTTTATCATTATTCTTTTTCTCATGCCCAGAATGCTACCCAGCCAGGCAGTCATAGGCTGACAGACATACTCATGGGGCTCCAGAGGCCCAAGCATGTTGGGTTGGTCTGCAGGTGTTGAATACTTTCTAAGGAGGTACTAAATTGGATTTGGCCAGAAGCATGGCCCTGGGTGAGTGTGGAAAGCCTTGCATTTCCGTGCTGAGTGCTGTTCGAGGACTTGGCAGGGCTCCCAGGGGCCACCGTTCTGATGAGCATTCTGAGCCCCTGTCTCGCTGTCAGTGGGCTGGGTTGAGGACCACTTTCCTGTGTTTGGCTCGCCTGCCTTCCTGCTGCTAGTTCCTCAGTGTGTGGGGGTTAGGCTGGGTGCCATTGGCACGGCCTGATTCTCAGGTCAGGATGGCTCAAGTCACATTGGCTTGGGGGTCCCACCTGGCCCAGCTGTCCACAGCTCTTCAAAGACGAGGAGAGCGCAGGGCTGGCCCTCAGACAAATGAGTTCGTCAGCATTCTGCACACAGCTGTGTGTACACAGTAATTGGAGAGGCAGACGTCTTGGGGAGCAGGAGGTGCAGATCAGTCTGGCTCACTTTGTCACTAACGGGCTGGCCGCTCGGTGAGCAGCAGGGGTCGATGCCTGGTGTGAGCCTGTGCCACTCTGGAGATGGAAGTGCTTAAGCTCCCAGGATAGGTCTGGTGAGAGGCCCACCGAAGACCGCACTGGACTAGTCTGGAGCTGCAGGGGGCCTTCGTTTGACTGGGTGTGGATGTGAAGTGGGGGTGCCTCCGATCCATCCATTCTTAGGTTCCTGGCTTGTAAGTCTAGCTTCGCCATTCTTTATTCTGTTGTCGGCAGAGGAGTTGCCCCTCTTCTGTCTTGGCTGGATCAAGGGGCAGGGGCAGAACCCATGTGCCAGCTCTGTTTGGCTCCCCTGGGCTGCCCGTTCTGTCTTTGGGCTGGCGCACCAAGAGGCCGGACTCAGCTGCACTGTGTTACCCAGTGATTTCCCTTTTTCCTGGAGACCAGAAGAGCTCGTAGGGCAGCACAGGTATTCCCATGACCCAGCCTGCTCAGCTTTCAGGTTTTGCTCTGTCCATCTGCCCCATTATGCCTGCCTCTTTCCATCTCTTTTAAGTGAGTGACAGGGGCTACAGTGAGTGTCTGTGGTTTATCCGGGCTGGCCTCTCGTGTTCAGGTGGCAGCAGCAAGCCATGAGGCTTTCTTGAACTCTGAGCCAAAACCCGCTGTGGCAACTGTCTAGTCCAGTCACGCTGTATGTCAGCCTCAGTATCGGAGCCCCGGGCTGTGCAGGCCTGCAGGGAAACTTGGACCAGGCTGTGTATGGAGCCCTCTGCCCGTCTGTGCCCCCTCACTGCTCTCAGCAAGGTATTCATGGCTTCCCTGGCTGCGTGTCCTGAGGCCCTGACTGCCCTCCTCCTGAGGACCGTTATCTCCCCAGGAGTCACTGGGAGCAGGCCCACTGGTGACGAGGACCCTGTCAGGTGGCTGTTCAGGAGTGTGGTCTGACATTTTCTACCAGTTCAGTTTAGTGGAAGTTGAGATTTGCCTTCCGAAAAGCAGGTTAGGGTAGCATCCGCAAGTAGCCCCACCCCTTCTTCAGAACTCCAGAAGAGTGTTCTCCTTGGTGCCCCCTCCACCCCCTGTATATAAGTGGGGAAGGGCATTGGGGAAGAATTGGAGGTCAGGGAAGCTGAACTGGGGGTGGGGGGCATCTGGGTGGCTTAGTCAGTTGAGCGTCTGCCTTCAGCTCAGGTTATGATCCCAGGGTCCTGGGATCGAGCCCCGCATCGGGCTCCCTGCTCAGGGGAGAGCCTGCCTCTTTCTCTGCCTCTGCTGCTCCCCCTGCTTATGCTTGGTCTCTCTCTCTCTCTGTCAAATAAATGAATAAATCTTAAAAAAAAAAAAAAGCGAACTGGGGGGTAGCAGTAGTCAGTGTGAAATGTATCTGCTGAAGGGGTGTGCAGCTGCCCCGAATGTGAGCTCTGAGATACTCCTGAATCCCCCTGGAGAGTGAGTTCAGGGGTCCCCCAAGGAGAAGGGAACCTTTAGGTGGAACAGGCAGACCTCATTTGGCAGGAAGGAGGGTGATGGTGCCCGTGACATCCCAGCCAAACCTTCTGCAGCAGGCTCAACAAAGGTCCTAGCCGCCCCCGCTTTGGGAATATCCGAGCACGTGCCACAGGGCCCCCAGAAGACAGGGACTCAGAACGGCACTGTGTCTGCCCTCCTCCAGCAGAGGGGCTCGAGGGCCTCTGTATGCCTGGCACCGGGCACGGGGGCTCATCCAGCTTAGCATGGTCTAATGGGAACGAACAATCAACTTGCAATCACTGGAATAATTGCTTAGCTCTGGGGGCTAAGAGAAAGCCTGAGTAAGTGTCCTTTACCCTGAGAACCTAAGGACTCTGCCAGGTGAATGTCTGTACAAGCTGTCCAGACTGAGGCCTGGGACAGACAGCTGCTTGGCGTGTGGCTGAGATGCAGCAGCCACGGGGGCGTGCAGCAGAGCAGGCTTGGTGCAGTGTCCCCCTGAGGACAGAAGGTACCAAAAGGAGGCTGGTGCAGAGCACTGCCAGCCCTGCTCCCCCCCCCGCCTCGTGTGGTTCCAAGAGGTCATGAAGACTGGAAGGAAGGTCACCTGGTCCCTCCTGTCCCCCAAGAGCTCCCCTGCCCTCTCAGCAGATAGAGAAATCTAGTTGCCTTGAATTATTTCCTTTTCTCCCCATGGCCGAGAGGCGGAGGCTGATGTGGGCAATGCATTCGTCGTCCATCTCCACTTTGTCATTTGGACAGAGGATGGGTCCTCTCTTTAAAGACTAGGAAGTTCCCTGCTACGTAGCCTGGTATGGCCATCCTGGGTTGGGACCTTAAGTCTGGCTCAGGATATGGTAGAAAGTTTGGGTCATCCTCTTTACATCCCCCTGAGTTATAGTGATCCTGGGGTAGCTGGCGGGTCTTGATAAGGGCCACCTTCCGGAGCCAGGCTTTGAGTCCAGGGCACTTAGGAGTTTGCTGCTTGGGGAGGGGAGCAGGTCCTTCTCCTATTTGTCGTGTGGACTCCTTACTCAGAACAGCCGCTGCTTGGTGGCGTGGGCCGGTGTTGGGTGGGAGGGGGAGGCCCAGAACGCTGCACTTGGGAGGAGCCGGGCAGGGCCTTTCTCCATGGGGAGAGTGCGGGAATGCTGGACGGTTCTCAGTGCCGTGCTGGTGGCATCGTCAGGATGGGGAGAGCATGTTGAGTGCTCTTGCTCTAATGCTTGTCCTTGGCCTCTAGCCCTGGCCCAGTGTGTCCAATCTGGCCAAGGACTTCATTGACCGCCTGCTGACAGTGGACCCCGGCGCCCGCATGACTGCGCTGCAGGCCCTGAGGCACCCATGGGTGGTGAGCATGGCAGCCTCTTCATCCATGAAGAATCTGCACCGCTCCATCTCCCAGAACCTCCTCAAACGTGCCTCCTCACGCTGCCAGAGCACCAAATCAGCCCAGTCCACGCGTTCCAGCCGCTCTACACGCTCCAACAAGTCGCGCCGCGTGCGGGAGCGGGAACTGCGGGAGCTCAACCTGCGCTACCAGCAGCAGTACAATGGCTGAGCCGCGGGGCTGCGGTGCGGACGGGCCGCGGTCCCAGCTGGGCCACGCGTTGCCGGGCCCCTGGGGCCCCATGCCCTCTCTGGAGATAGGCCTGTATGGCCAGTGGCAGGTGAATGGCCCCCGCCCCTTCCCTGTCCCTTTAGCAGCCCCCATCCTCATCCTGGGCCTGAGCCTGGTGTGAGAGTGGAGGGAGCCTAGGGGTCTGTGAGCGCTCTGAACTGGGAGCCTGGCCTGGCACCAGTGCTCTTTTTGGTGGGCAACTGCTCTGCTAGAAGTTGGGGAAGGGGTAGGACATGGCCTTCAGGCTCCCTCACCCCTTGGCTCTTCCCCAAGACCAAAGAGGCATGTAGTGCCGGGCAGAGGGTGTCCTGTGGTCCCAGGACTCTTTGGGACAGTTACTTCTGAAACCCTCTTCACTGAACCTTCTCTGGCCCCCCATATTCCATTGCATCCTGATCTGTGCCCCAGTGAGAGGCCCAGGGAGGCACAAAGCTTGTGCCTCAGCTGGACTCTCAGCCCCTGGCTAAGTCCAGACAGTCCCCCACCTCCCACCCAAGATCTGCCTTCCTTCATGGTGCCTCCAGGGACCCCTCCTGGCCCCAGGACTGGCTAGAACCTCTGATGGTAGGGCCATGGCATGGTCCTTGGCCCTTCTGGACTATGTGGCCATGTTGGTAGCAGGCTTGTTCCAGGCTCCAGCCTCTCTCTGCCAGTGAGAGACCTCCTGCCCACCAGCCCACTGCTCTCAGTGCCTTCTTTGCAGAGCCCGCTATATACACTTCTCCCCCCACCTTGGATGCCCATTCTATTCCCTGGGTGCCTCCTTCCCAACTGTGGGGGATTAAAGGGAGCCCCACTGCTGCTACCTGGGGAATGGGGGCACCAGGGCCAAGGCAGGGGCCAGGGGCTTCCCAGGGAGCGCCCCATCAAGATTCCAGTGTCAGCCCTGGTTCCACCCTTGGTACCGCGCATTGCCCCTTCCCTTCAGGCTCTGCTGTTCCCTCCTCGAAACTGCATGAGGGCGCCATCTAGTGTCTGACATGAGTATGGGCAGCCTAGGACTGACCACTGCGCTCATCCTTCATCCTCTAGAGAAAGTGGGAAGGAGCTGCTGTAGTGAGGAAAGGTCCCCAGGCTGCTCAGCACTCCCCTTCTGCTGAGCTGCTGCGCAGCTCCAGTTGGAACTTAGCCGTACTGTGTGACCTGCCTCTGAACCCTGAGTGCCTGGGGCCCTGGCCTTCTCACAGCTGGCCTTGCCTGGTCCAGCCTGGCCCTGCTTTCTTTCACAGCATTACCCTTCCAGCTTGGGCTCTGCTGCATCTCAGGCTGGAGGGAGCCCCTGCAGGAGGTGGGTGGAATTGGGTGGCTGCTTTCCCAGAGGCCTGAGCCAGACCATCCCGATGTCAGTCATGGTGCCTCCCCTGCACCCCCCACCCCAAACCAGGCTGGAACCCAAGTCCCCTTCCTCCACAGCTGCTTTCAGTGGGTAGGAAGGAGCTGGGGCCCAGCTTTAGCCTTAGCTAGACTGCAGGGCCTCTGCCAGGGAGGGATTGGCCCTCACTGTTGCTCCCAGTGGGTAGCCTTGGGCCAGGCTCTCCTCTTTCTGCATGTGCCACCTCCAGTGAGAAACAAAGCCAAAGAGACCACTCTGGGCCAAGCCAGTTGTGCCTTATACATCTCCTCCCATCTCCAGTGCTCCTGGCACAAGGCAGCAGAGAGCCCAAGTCCTGTGGCCTCAGAATTCCTCCCATTTCCCCAAGTGCCTCGGGGGCCTGAAGCCCTGGGGATTTATTTCCTCTCATGTCCAAGGTAGGTCTGGTCCTAAGGGTAAGATAGAGGGCATTTGGAGATTGGGCCTTTATGCCATGGACCATGCTGGAGAATGTGCAGTTATTTATTTTGTGTACCCCGGTTGTAAATGTATCCTCTGTATTCAATAAACAGGCTGCCCTCCCCAGGGAAGGCTCCCCATCCATTCTGACAGCCCAGGCTCCTTGCTGTGGACCAGGGGGTTACCTAGGAAGAGGAGAGATGGGGGCCCTGGCCTTGGCATGGCTACTCTAGGAAAATCTGACTCAACATCTGCCATGCCAGAAGTCAGAGTCCCAAGTGGGGAGGGGGACTCCCGAGAGTCTCTCCTTTCCCTTGAAAGGACAGACAAGAATACACAAGAGGACAGAGCATGGGGTCTTTATTGGATTGAGGTGGGGAGAGGGCCTGTGGTAGGCTTAGTTGTAGGCTGTGACCTGGTTGATCCAGGTGCTGAACTTACTAACCCGAGTGTATATGGCAGGCTGGCGCACGTTGCAGTTGCTGGTACCCCACGAGACGATGCCAGTAAGCACCCATGTGTTCCCTTTCTGGCAGACGAGAGGGCCTCCGGAGTCTCCCTGAGGGAGGGAGAGGAGAGTAGTCAGCGTGGGGATGAGGGGGTGCCACAGGGCGGTGCAGAGGACAGGACAGGGGGCTGATGCTCACCTGGCACGAGGAGGCCCCTGCGCCGCCCGCACAGATCATGGAGTCAGTGATGCGTGAGCCCCAGTACTGCCTGCACTGATTCACGGTGACCAGGGGCAGAGCCACCTGCTGTAAGCGCACTGGGGTCGTATTGCCTAGGGGCCAGAAGGGGATGGTTGGGCCCTGGATGACTGCTTCCCACCCTGGCCCTCTCACCCAGATCTTTGGCCCGAGTTCCTACCCACGCCGCTGAGGCGTCCCCAGCCAGTGGTGGCGCACTTGAAGCCCGCAGGCAGCGCCTCATCTGGGGAAGCCAGGCAGACTGGTGAGACTGGCAGGGGAGGCAAGCTTCAGTAGTGTCAGGTCATTGTTTAGGGTGGTGGGGTTCCAGAAAGGGTGCGTGATGGCCTGTGGAACCAGGAAGGGGCCAGGTAGGATGGTGGTGGGCATAGGCCCCCCAGGGTTGATGGTTGCTGAGGGGGCTAGCCTAGGGCATGCCCTGAATTCCTCATCCCCAGAGTCCCCCGCCCCCGGCCCCGTCCACTCTTCCTTTCCATGTCTGTAGCCTAGATACTCACCTTTGAGATGGACAGGACCTGCAAAGGCTCAGCATTGGATGATCGGTCGTACTCGCCCAGGACAACAACGTGGCGGCCAGGGCTGCAGTGAGAGTGGGGTTGGGCAGCCGCAGGGAGGGCAGAGTGACAAGAGAGGGGCATCCGGGGGAAGGAGGTGGGGAGAGGTGGGCTCGGGGGCAGGTAGAGTAGGAGTACTCACCTGACATTGCAGTGGGCAGCAGTGACCACCCAAGACTGGCTGATGAGGGAAGCCCCGCAGAAGTGGAAGCCGCTTCTGTCCTGGGGTCAGGGGTCAGAAGTAGGGGTGGGCTCAGGCTGCACCTAGGCATGAAGCACCTGGTACCCTGCCCCACCCCTGGGGTGCATGTACCTGCAGGGAAACCTGCCAGGGCCAGGAGCCCGACACTGCATTCTCTCCGTTGACAATCCTCTGGCTGAAGCTCAGTACCGGCTTGATAGCAGGAATGCCGCAGCCTGGCCATTGGGATGGTGAGGACCTACTTCCCACACCCCCACAACCCCACCCACCTCTCCCCACCTCCTCCTGGGTCCAAATTGAGAGGGCTCGTCACTACCCCTTCTCACCCTGAGAATCTCTAGGTATCTTGGTTACCTATGTCCCCAAATTCTGTCCGTTCTCTAACATCTCTCTCCACCCTTACTTCCCATTGTTCCCCAAATTCACCCCCACCCTCCAACTCAGGCCATTTTTTTCCCTGACCCCTGGGATAGTCTCCTCCCTGGCTTCGCCACCTGCTCCAGCCTCAACAGCGAGAGGCTTCTCCCTAAACTACACGTCCAACCTTCACTTCTCAGCTTCCTAAACCCTCCCTGGCTCCTAGCTCTGGCCTGATCTCCTGTCCCATTTGTGAGACCAGTCCCTGCCCACCTCTTGCCCCGACCCTCCCGCAACCCTGGCACATCCTTTTTCCTTTACCCACTCTGTTCACCTGGTTCCCTTCCAGCCAGTCCAACTCCTTCCCCGAGCCCCTGGGCAGGAAGCCTGGGCTGGTTTTAGGAGCCGGGTTGCTTTAGGGCTGGTCATCAGGGCTAGTCCAGGCCCACTCACCCCAGGAGGAGCCGAGGAGAACCAAGTTAAGGGTCAGACTGAGCAGCAGCATTGTGGCAGGCATGAGGTTGAGAGCTGGACCTGCTTTTATGGTTCTCCTCGTCCTTGGGCAAAAGTCCTAGGCCTGAGGCCAAGCCATCTGTGTGGGCTCAGCCCTCTCCCATGCTCTGGTCAGGAGGAGGGTCTCTAGGCCAAGGTCCTGGACCCAGGCCTAGACTTTATCAGATAGAGCCCAGGTGTGGGGCTCTCACCTCCACCCCCTAGAGCCTGGTCTCTGATTGGCTCCCTGAACCACCTCACATCCCAGGTGTTGAGTGCTGAGTAGCAAGGACTTAAACGGTTAAGTTAGGTCTGTGTGGACTACCTGGTGGCTGGGATCAGGGAAGTTTCTCAGGGCTGTCAGGGGCACCAGACAGAGAGGCGTGCTCAGCACCCAGGGGTGTTCCTGATGGGTGGAGGGAATGTCCAGCTGTGCTGTGGAGGGCCAGGGCCATGCGGCCAGGGCAGGGGTTCTGGCAGGTCACAAATCTAACAGCATCTCAGTGATTTCTCACCAACTTGGAACAGGAGTCAGTTTGCCCAAAGAGATGGTGACTCTCCCACAGCACACTGGGTGCGTTTGGACCCAAACCGTCATCTGGTTCTGAAACCCACACTCTTATTGATGAGATGACACCTGGGAGAGGCCTGGTACACAGTAGGGTAAGGTGTGAGCCCTTGGTGACTGGCTGACCCTGGATGGAAGTTACAGGTGCAAGGGTGACAGCCATCAAATCTCTGACAGCCTCCAGGCCTTGGGGCTCCCGTGGGCAAGCTCTTGGTGTCCACAGCCCATCTGAGGAAGAGAAGACAGCCCTGTGTGCAAACCTGCAATGGGTAAGTTGACTGGGCTCCTAGAGGTGTGGGGGGTGCCAACTGACTCCAAACTTCAGTTAAAAAAAATAAGATGTGCTAATGGTTGAACAGAGGGATGGAAATGTGATCAAGCAAACATAACAATAGTAACTGTAAAGTCGATTGTGGGTATATAGGTGTTCAATGCAATTCTTTCAGCTTCTATGTTTAAAAATCTTCATAATAAAATACTGGGGGGAAAAGCACAATCAGGAGCCCAGGGAAGTCCAGCTCAGAGTAGACCCTCCCCAGGGGTTGGGCAGACTCTTAACAGTTCCGAAGCTCCAGTGGAATCAGCCGTTCTGAGGGCAGGATGCTCCTGCCAGCACATGGCACCTAGGCTGGCCTCAGTGGGTGCTCAGCAAAGGTTTGCTGGATAAATGTGTCATGTCATCTCTCTCTGCATGAGAGATGGACCTCAGGGTGTGCCTGGTCAGGTGAGCGGTTGCGCAAAGGTATTTCAGGGGTGAAGTTCTGTGAGAACTTGCCCTTAGAGTCAGGGAGCAGCTCCTCTATCAGCATTGAGGGCTAACTCTGTGGGGTCCATGGGGGCCTCCTTGACAGAGGTGTGGGCTTTGCCATGGGACACTGATGAGCCAGGTAAAGGCTGTAGGTGGGGCAGTGTGGGGCCTTCTGGGTTTTACAACAGTCCCCAGTGGACTAGAGGGCAAGAACAAGGCACTGGAGTGGTAGGGGGACCTCTATGGTGTAGAGAGTCAGGAGGGGGCTTTCCACCTTGAGCTGCAATGCTTGCCAGGGCTGGGGTTCTGGAGGAGTAGATGCCTAAGGCGATGGGTAAAGGGCACCTCTTAGGCCAGGCCCTGGAGCCATGCAGGGAGTGGCCCTGCAGGTGTACATTAGCCACAGAGTCCTGATGGCTGCTTGTCCCCCCCTCCACCCAGGAACAACACAGCCATCTGTTTAGGTGTTTTGGTTTTTTTGTTTTTTAAAGATTTTATTTATTTATTTGACAGAGACAGACACAGCGAGAGAGGGGAAAAGCAGGGGGAGTGGGAGAGGGAGAAGCAGGTTTCCCGTGGAGAAGAGAGCCCGATGCGGGGCTCGATCCCAGGACCCTGGGATCATGACCTGAGCTGAAGGCAGATGCTTAACTGAGTGGGCCACCCGGGTGCCCTGTTTAGGTGTTTTGTATTTCCTGGGTTTACTCCCCCCTTGTTCCAAGCCCTAAGCATCATCCTACTTCACTCCACCTCCATGGCCTGCACGGTTTCCTCCAGCAGCTCCAGGGTCAGTGGCTTCACTGTCTGGGACAGCACAGCTGTGGTCCCAGGGGCAAAGTGGTAGTGGCTGGGCCTGGGAGAGGAGAGGGACGGCCTCTCAACTTGGGCCCATCATGTGGCCCATCCTCTTCTTGCAGCCCCCATCTCCCCTGCTACTGCCCCATCCTCCCCAGCAGTCCCCCATCTCCCATGCTCCCACCTCTCTATGGGCTTTGTGGGTGAGCTTAATGTTCTCAGAAGCTTGGCGCCGGTCCGCATTATCACACATGCATCCACGCTGCCCCCAGAGCCCAGGTCACCCAGGATCCCTGCAGTGACAGCTTCCACTAGCAGCTCCTGCGCGGCCTCCAGCTGTGATGATATGTGTGCTTGAGGCCCGATGGACCCTTCTGGTATCATCTTCAGGCTACAGCCTAGAGGTTTTGTTCATCTCGAAGCCCAGATTATTTACCATTTGCTCATACCCAGACTCTTCTGTTTCCCTATACCCCCATCGACCCCAAGTTCCCTTGCCCTGGTCTTTGCCTCCCTCTCTCCAGAGACGCTGTGTTCCCAGTGCCCCATCTTCACAAACTTCTCTTGAGTCACTTAAACTTGTGGTTCTGCTTCCAGTGCTGTGCACCCAACCAATGTGGTCTTGCTCCCCAGTCTACTGGCTCACTGCTTTTTCCCTTTTGGGCCTTAGGCACCTCTGAAGCAACACATGTCATCCACTTTCATCCCACCCTAAACAAAATCCAGACTCCAGACCCCACTTGCCCGTTACCTCCTCCCTCAGCTTCAAAGGGTCCTGAGCTTTGACTTCTCCAGGCAGTCCAAACTTTGGCACTGACGGTCGTCTGCTGGAACAGCGCTTCTTCACTCTGACTCCACTGGCCCCTCAGTCTCCACTCAGTCGTCACCTCCAAGAAGCCTTCCCTAACCTCTAGACTAGGCCATGATACCTCACCTTTGTGTTACCAGAGCTCCCGCGTGCCCTACCCATCAATGAACGCGTAGTGAGGGACAGCGGTTGCTTACCCTCATGTTCGGCTGGAACCGATCCTCCAGTACCGCCAGGGCGGCGTCCTGGCCGGAACCTGCAAATAGGAGGGGCATTTGAGGCCAGTCGTGGCCACCCGGCCGCGGGACGAACGTGAGGCCACGGTCGCAGGGTCGGGATTCGTGGGGAAGGGGCGGAAGCGCTCACCCAGGGCTGTGAAGGGCAGACGGCTGTAGGAGCCGTGGGGGTGCACGCTGTAGAGCTGCGGTCCAGTCAAGTCTACTCCGCCCACTATCAGCGACGCGCCCACGTGGCCCCGGTACCTTTTCACGGAATGGGCGTGGTCAGCCCCAAGCCCTGGGCTTCAGGTCCCGCCCCTCCGTGACACCGCCCTCGGACCCGAGCCCCGCCCGTTCCTGTGGTCTGGCGCCCCGGTACTAACATTGCTCCTTCCTGTTGCCCAGCTCCTCTTAGGTCGGCCTTTTCCGGTCTCCGGGGCTCTCGCAGCCCCGCCCTTCCTCCTGTCCTTCCTCCTGTCCCACATCCTCTCAGTCCCGCCCTCCCTACAGCGGCCCCTCCTCAGGGTCATCTTAGCCCCGCCCCAGTACCGGAAGAGCGTCTGGCGCAGAACGCGCGTGACCGTAGCCACGCGAATCTCCCGGCCCGTGGACAGGGCGTGTAGCTCCATGTTGGACGCCGCCAGCCGCGTGGTCATTTCGGCGTCCGCGGCTACTCCAGCCCCACAGCAGCTGAGAACGAAGAGGGGGGTCGGTGTGGGCGGGGCTAGGGCCTGCGGGGCCGGGAATGGGAACGAGGGTCGGTTCTTGAGTGGGGCAAAGGGGTTGGGGATTTCTCACTAGATTTTGGGGGCGATGAAGTGGATCTTCTCGCAGTTCTTGTCCATCACAACCGAATCGCTAGTGGCCCGCGTATCCGCGCCCAGGATGACCCCGTCCTGGGGACGGAGAGGGGCCGCTGGCTCAGTGCCTGTCCGATTCCCCAGCAATCCCTCTAAACCCTCCAGTCCCAAGTCCCTGCTCACTTGGAACACAAGGCCCGCGATGGTGGTACCGGTTCTGTGTGCCTGAGGGATCCGGAGCCCTGGGAGGACTCGTTCTAAAGATGCATTTCTGGAAACGGAGTGGAGAGGCCCAGGCTGAGGTTCCTCTTCTGGGACTCCATCCGTCACATCCTCCAGCTCTGTCCTAGCCTCCCTCACCTCTAGGGGTGGGAGCATAGGAACCCAAGTCGCCCAGCACACGCTGCCGCCCCTCCGCCCCCACCAGGAATAAAGGCCCTGGGGCTTCCACTCCCAGAAGCCCTCGTGGAGAACATAGGCAGCACCACTCCCGACCAACCCCCGCCCCCCCCATCACCTCTGGCAGTTCTCGAAGGAGAAGCCCCTTCGGGGCTCTAACGCAGGCTTCAGCATCTGGAGGTGGGCAGGGTGGTCCAGGGGTTGGGGGTCTACGTTGGACCAGAGCGGAGCAAGAAGGGCCAAAATCGGGTGCTCTGTCAGGCAACCCCCTAGCCCTTCTGACGCGTCTGGCTTTCGGTTTCACCTTTCCTCAGAGCGTGGCTGGCCCCCTTCTGCAGCTTCTCTTTCACTTTCACCTTCACCTCTGGTCCTGGGCAGCTTGGCAAAGGGGAGATGTCCTTGCCTGGCTTTCCATCCTGCTCCCTAGTCCTCTGAACAGAGGGACAAATGCCTCCGTCTGGCCATTGTTCAGTAGCTCCTCCCCCTTCCAGCCTGAGTCCCTAGCTTTTCCTATCAGTATCCCAACTCTAACCTCAAGTCCCTCAGCCCTAAGGCTGTCACACTGGCCAGGTTTCTGTTACTTGCCTCCCAACAACATCAAGCATGGCTGCCTTTTGTCCTTTGGCACCCTCTTTCTTTCAGCTCTTTTGTTGCCTTTGCATTCTCCCTGAAACCTGAAACACCAAAGCTCAGTCCTCCACCATGGTGACCGATCCTTCCTGCTTCCCTGTCTCAGGTGCTGTCTTCCCTCTCTCAAGAGGGATGCTGTGGGGCTGTCCATCTAGTGGCCTGGAGGCATGCTTGCCTCTGCCCATGGCCCAGCCTTAGTTTTCCTCCCAAATGACCCTTTATCTGTCCACATCTTTCTCCTAACCACCGCTTTAGTCTCAGCTAGCCTCATCTCTCCCCTGGATACTGCACTACCCTCCCTGGCTTCCCCAAGCTTCCTGCCCCTCAGCCCCCACCCCAGGCTACCCTTTAGCTTGCAGAGAAGGGACTCTTTCTAGATTGCAAATCTGGTTACGCTCTTACCCTGGTTAACCCCTTCAGCAACTGCATATTGCTCTTAGGCTCAAACCCAAGTCTTTACAGCAGCCCACATTACCCTTCTCATCCCATCTGATCTCAGAATAGGCACCACCTCCTCTGGGAAGCCTTCCCTGACCCACAAGACTCAGCCCCTTGGTGCTCCCTAAACTTTTCTCTCAGACCACTTAGCTCCATTAATTAAATCTTCATTAGAGAAATGATCTGATTCATGGCTGTCTCTCCCCCAGATTTTAAACTCTTGCGCTTCTGTCACCCACTTAGCACTCAAAAGGCCCTGTCTAGGGGGGCACCTGGGTGGCTCAGTCGGTTGAGCGTCTTGCCTCGTGATTTTGGCTCAGGTCATGATCTCATGGTTTGTGGGGTCCAGCCCTGTGGTGGGCTTTGTGCTCAGCCGGGAGCCTGCTTGAGATCCTCTCCCTCTCCTTTGCCCCGCGCCCCCATAAATAAACCTTAAAAAAAAAAAAAGGCCCTGTCTAGTGGTGGGATCCACCTGCCCTTTGGGGAGCGGGCGGGGGACAGCTCACCTCTTCCCTGCCTTGCACCCTTGGCTCCAAGTGCCCCCATCCGACAGCTGTGTGCGCAGCTACCTCCAGTCCCCCATCCCCAGAGCAGAGGCAGCCTACATAAACAGCTCATCCAGGAGAGTGGGAAGCTCTACATCTCAGGGTTCCATATTCAATCCCAGGCTTCACCAAAGTCCATCTTGCCCTGACCTTCCACAAAGTACCAGGCCTATGGCTGCTACTCAGCGAAGCCTAGTGGGTGGACACTAGTGCCTCCTCCTCAACCCACAGGACACAGGTCAAAGCTTAGAGAGCAAAAGAAGGTCTTTATTCGGGGGGCAGAGGCCCTGGGCTGGCAGTTGGGGGTTCAGGGGTGCTACGTCGGTAGGTACCCAGCAGGATGGCATTGATGTGCTCCAGAGTCTGGTTGCTAAAGACCATGTTGAGGTGCTCTGTCCCATGGAGAGGCAGCAGGTGCACAGGCTGTGGCTGGCGGCTCTGCCAGTGGGCACAGAGCTCCGTGCTGCGTGTGGCCACAGTGTCATCACCGTCCTCGTAGAGCACCCCCACGGGGTCTGTGTAGGGGAAGCCGTGGTCAAAGATGTAGGTGCGGGGTGTGGGCAGGCCCACGCCATACAGACAGTATACTTCCACGCCAGGTGCTGGGAGGCCTGCCAGTAGGTCACGTGACTGGAGCCACATGTACCAGCCTTCCTCAAAGTGCACATCTGCAAAGAAGCGCTGGAAGTCACGGCCTGTGTAGTTGATGCCGGGCGTGGAAATGAACACATGGTCCTCAGGCCATGCCTCGCTGGAGGGAAACATCCAGGGGGAGGTCGTTGATATACGCTGTTCCTCTCTCAGCTTGATGCTGGACATGATCGGGATGCCCTGGTTGTCACCTGTGAACACAAAGCCAGGTGGGTCAGGGAGCCTGGCCACCTCTGGCCCACACCTTGCCTCCCAGCCCAAGCTCAGCCAGATGCTCAATCTTGTCCCTGGCCAATTCCAACGCTGACTCCAAGCCACAAACTCGGAGCAGGTCTGGCATTCAACAGGTGTTCAATGTGTGCTTACTGAACGAGAGGCCCTGGTGGCACGTCTGTGGGGCAGAGCTGTAGAGCCTCAAAAGGAGGGAGAAGTTGGTTTCCTGAAGATGGGTGTATATGTGTGTAGATGGGAGGATGGTGCTGGTGGTTCTCCCTCAGCCAAGTGTCTGCTGGGTCCTGTGGCCTGGGGCTATGCAGGGGTCAGAGCTATGTTCTTGGGAAGGATAAAATTAGACTGTGTCTGTGTTTGGCCCTTATTGATGGAGTCTGATGGAGTCTTTCCCTCAGCACATCGTGAGCTACTGGGGGAAGGTAGAGTCTGGCTGTGCCCAGCATACAATTAGTACTCATATAGTTAGTAGCTGTGCCACTTCTCAGGAAGGGCAGAGGGGCTTCTAGGGTGTGGCCCTGGCTCTGGCAGATCTGTCCTCAGTAGGCAGATCCCTGGAAAACGGGCTCCTGGAAGCAGAAGGCCGCTGAAAGCTGAGTGGGCAGGCCCTGAGACCACAAGGAACAGACGTAGTCCATGTGTCAGATTGCCAGGATTCACTTCCTTTCTGTTTACTTTCCTTTTGTCACCGAAACACCACCAAAACAGACTTCTGGCAGGAGCTACCAGGCCAGGCCCACTGCTCTCAAGGGGCCAGTGACAGGGGCCAGGCCTCAGGGGTGGTAAATAGCACGGTCAGCCTGGCCTTGTGAGCAGAAGCAGGAGTGAGGGCAGGCCCATGGTCAGTTTCATCCCCCTCCACCCCAGGCCCCTCAATGACACGGGTGGTCTGAGGCCCTCTCACCTGAGGCCAAGACCAGCATGGGCTTGATGGAGCCCCCCCAGGGAGCCCCAAGAGAGATGAATCCATCGACGAAGCGGTCCTTCCAGGCCTGGGGCTGGCGTAGCAAGAAATAGAGCAAGTGTAGGCAACCGAGGCTGTGACCAATGAGGAAGACAGGCTTCCCGTAGGCAGCATGCATCTCCTCCACCAGCCCGGCAAGCTTCCGGTAGTATTCCTCCTGCTGGCCTGCAGCAGGGTGGATGGGGTCAGGGCAGTGGGGGGTCAGGGCCCACCTGCCCCAAGCCCACTATCTGCAGAGACACTCACTGGGCTCCAGCCGCCAGTCGTAGGGGGCGGCCCGCACCGTCTCGTCCCGCACATACCCGTTGTTGACCAGGTTCTGCACCAGTGTGTGCATGTAACCTGTGGGGAAGGTAGCAGCACTGGAGGCTCTGGCCACAGCTCCTGTGGGCCGGCCACGGCTGCAGCCTGCCCCTTCCCCAATAAACACACCTGCCAGCTTGTTGTTGTCCAGGTACTCAACAGAGTAGGTCTTCCCAAAGCCAGGGACACGGATCTGTACACCAGGGGCATTGGACACGCGCCCAGAGCTGCGGTTGTAGACGACCCTGGGGGCAGTGGGACATTCAGCAGGCCAGCAGCCAAGGGGCCGAGCGTGGGGGCCGGGGCAGAGGGGATGGCATGTACCTTGTGTTATCAATCCAGCAGTCCACTCCAAGGGGTAGGAACATATTGAGATCCAGCCAGATGGTGAAGAAGTCCTCCGTCTTGCGGTAGCACATCCAGTTCACCACATCTGGTTTATCCAGCTTGGCTTCCAGCTGATTCCCCAGGCAGCCAGGCACTGTGGGCGCTAGCCTTCATTCTGAATTCCTTGGATTCCTCCCTCGCCCCGCCCCCCATGCCTGTTCCCCGACCTCTCGCTTTGTGACCAGCTCTGCCCCTCCATCTCCCACACCCTCAACCTCCAGGAACTAAGGACTTGATCCTTTACATAAACAGGATCCCACCCCATCCCCCCAGCAGCCCAGGGCCCAGGTTCCCCTCAGGCAGGGAAGGTGCAGGGGCCAAGGCCACTGACCCCTGTCCGCAAAAGGCAAACACCTGGCCTGGCTCTCCATTCATGCCTAAGTCCAAGGTGAGAACAAACAGCTATGGGGGAGTGGGGGCTGGGCCTCGGAGGAGGAGGCAGGCCTTGATGGGCCTCTTCTGTTTTCCTGGGCTGGGCATCTTGTCCTTGCTGGGATGGGGGCTGAGTGGCTGCAGCTGACCACAGCTTGTAATGCCCTGGCCAAGCCCTCAGGCACACCCGCCCCCAACTCCACCCGCCTAGGGTAGACAGCTCAGAGACACAGGAACAGTGTGGTGGGGGAAGGGGTTCATTTCTCTGCAGGAGAAGCCTTTGGACCCTCAAACAGAGAGGCAGGTATCAGGGCGAATGCAGGGGCAGAAGGGCCTTGGCAGGGTCTGCTACCAGGGGGCTGGGGCCCAGGCTCCCCGAGGTCTGGCCTGGTGCATCAGGGGCCTGGCGGGGGCTTACCGAGGATGACGGGCCGTGTGTGGTTACTGAGCTCAGCCTTGGGCGTGGTGTGCGGGGGGAAGAGCACATTGAAAAGCCAGAAGGGGGAGGCAGGGGGGAGCAGCAGCCCGAGCAGCAGCAGCCCCCAAGGCCATGGGGAGCCCGACGGCCCCATTCCAGCCCTAGTGCCTATTGCCCACTGAAGCAGTCCTGGGCTGGCCTTATCTGGAGTGGTGGTGGGAGGGGCCCTAAGGCCAGTGGGAGGGACAGCCTGGCCAATGGGGGTGGCCAGAGGTTGCCGGGAAGGGGCATAGCCTCGGAGCCAGCTCTGGGCCTGGTTTCAGTTCCGCCTTCTTCCCTTGGTGCCAGGGGAAACAGAGCCGGGGCAGCAGGAGGCCCAGAAGTACACAATGTTTTATTGAAAAAAGTCAGGCCCCAGCTGGCCAGTTCCATTCGGCTTGGCTTGGTGGGGGTCCCTGCCCACAGGAGCCTGAGCCAGGTCTTCCTGCAGGTGGGCTGGGCCAGACCCCCCTCCCTTGTCGCCCTTCCCCTCCTCTCTGATGGTGACATCCAAACAATAAATATGCAATAAATAGCGTTCCTGGGCAGGCTGCCTTCAAATCTCCCATGAGCCCCCTTCCCCCTCCCAAGTCTTCTCCCGCCAGGACAGGCCTCCTGGGGTGCTGGATGGGGAAGTCCCCAGACCTCTCAGGGTCCTGCAGAACCTCGGATCCATTGCCATTACCAGCCCAGGCCTGGTCTTCCAAGGAGACCTAGCAAAGCTGGGTCCAGGACAGGGCCGGGCAAAGCAGGGCTGTCGGGTGAGTGCTGGGAGAAGGCTGTTACCCTGGACACTTCCACTCCAAGCCAAAGGTGTATATCCGGCTCAGGAGTAGATGGTGATCACTTCACGGCCACCTCCACGCACCAACAGCACACGCTCGAGGCCCTCAGTCAGCACCTCCAGGAACTCCATGTCTGCAGGGCGTCAGGTCAAGGAGGCAGCACCAGGACCAAGGGGCACCCAGGGAAGTTTGGCCTATTAATCAGAGCTGGGGTAACCTAGCACCCCCCGGGGGCATCTAGGGAGAAGAGGTCCTAGCCTGACCCCATGCGTTGTCCACCTCCCCACTGCCAGCCTTTCCACCAAAGGATACAGTTCTCATCACCTTCGCTGTTCTTGGGGGGGCCAGGCATGTTCAGTAGAACCAGGCGGGCATCGTGGGAGCGCGTGACGATGACTTCGTTGAGCTTCACAGCGGTGTGCATGCGCCGCACATTGGACTGGTCCCTGCAGGTAATGCAGCTGATCACAGGCCCCACCCCTGGCCCACCCGAAGACCCTGTCCACCCCCAGCCCACCTCCACTCCCAGACCCCCGTGTGGTGGGGTCTGTTTTTGCTGCACTCACGGCTTAATATGCACCAGCTCCCGGAAATTGTCAGGGGCGTGGCTGGGGTCCCAGGGCTCCGCCGCCATGTACTTGTCCCGTGTCCATGTCATCTGGATTTTGTCAGCCCCAGCGGCAGACTCGTCTTCCTCGTCGGAGTACAGGCTCTCCAGCCGCAGGGCTGAGTGTCGGTCCTTGACCAGCTGGGCCTGAGGAAAATCAGAGGTGGCCTCAGTGCCACGGGAAAAGGGGGACCTGGATGGCCCAACACGATCACTTGGCCTCCGGGAAATGGGTACTGACTTGGGTGAGGCTGGGTGGGGTGCGCCATTCTGATTCCCCAAAGTGATGGTGTCTCCAAAGCCTGACCTGCCACCCGCCCCTGCCTGAAATGAGAAAGCCACTGACTTCTCGCTCCCGCTCCGTCTTCGTCAGCCTCATCTGCCGCAGCATCTGGGAGCGCTGTTCCATCATCAGTGTCCGCTCATAGGTGTATGCGGAGATATCGCTGTTATGCTGGGGAGAGAGTGGAGCATGAAGAATGGGCTGCATGCAGCCGGCTATCCACAGGGCCACGGGGGCAGGTGACTCACCATCTCTACCACCTCCACCTCAGCCTCAAGGCGCAGGTGGTACAGGAAGACGGCCAGATCCTTCTTCATCTGGATGCTGTTGTCGTCCATCTGGGCCACGGTGAAGATGCGCATCCGGCACTTCCTCCACACCTGGGGCACAGGAGCAGGTAGGTGGCTGAGTCACATTCCAGCCCTCCCAGGGCCCAGCCCTGCCCACCTGGGTCCACCCGCCTGGCCCACCTTGTGCTGGCGCAGCAGGAAGGGCAGAAGCATGAGCATGCCCCCGTCGTGCACAATCCACCAAACGTCAATGTGGCCCTCCAGGTAGCGCTCATGGTTGCTGGGGTAGAAGGCGATGTTCTTGGGCACAAGCAGGGCCAGGTGGGCTGCCGTGGTGCAGCGCACAGTGTCTGGGGGACAGGGGCCACTACTGAGTGCCAGCCTGTGGCCCTCCGGCCTCCACCCTGACTTGATCCCCACAGGGTCCAGCCACATGGCCCAGCCCAGGACCTGTCCCGTCACGCACCAATAAAGGTCTTCCAGGCCCGTGGGTCCTCGCTCTGTCGCCAGCCATAGGGCCAGCCCAGCACCACAGAGTTATGCCTCATGCCGCCCAGGCCGCAAGATTGGATGAGGTGGGCCAGCCCCTCTCGCACCTTGCTGGCTACCACCACCTGGCAGAAGCCCTTCACCTTCTCAATCTCCATCATGTTCTTGATTGTCTGTAGGGAACACACAAGGGTCAGAAGACAAAGGCCGTTAGTGTTCCCTCTGCTGGGCTCCCTCCGCACAGAATGACGTGGGGGTAAGGGTTGGGGAGGAGAAGGAGGTAAGCTGCCCACCCAGAAGCCATGTTTTCTGGGTGGGACAGCCATACCCCCTTGCTCCAGCTCTTAGGGGGCAGCGATGCTGTCCACCTGGCTGGCCAGGATTAGTCCCCTTCTCCTAGGAGTCAGCTGCAGCCCAGACACCTCTAGTCTGGCTCAGCACCCCGCCCCCTAGAGCAGGCACCTGCTCGGCAGCCTGGGCCTCGCCATAGCTCTCCAAGAAGCTGCCCTGGATGACAGAACCGACGATGGTCAGGCCCTTGCCGGCCTTCAGCTGGGAGGCGAAAGTGAGGAGCCGTGGGTACTTCACGTGAAGGTCCTCGTCCAGCTTCAGCAGCACGAGCAGCTGAGGCCTGCAGGGCCCAGATGGAGAGCCTGAGACCTGGGCCACAGGTTTCCAGAGAGCCCCTCTTCTTCCTCCTTTCATAGTTCACAGGCCCCCATAGGTTTGAGGAGTAAGAATCCAAGGGCAGCCCTGACAGCCCTGGGACAGGGATCATGGACTCGGTAGGGAGGGCCAGCACCTCCTGACCTTCCACCCTCACAGCTCCCCCCGAGAACCTAGAGTGGCTCCTGCCAGCCTGGGTGTGAACTCACCGCCAGTTCTTGGTGTGAGGAGGCCCCTCCTCTAGCCGCAGCAGTGCATAGCGGGCAGCACTCAGGGACAGGCCCCGGATCCCGTCACCCCACTCCTTTTCAGCCCTGCGGAGGCCACCACGAGCTGGTGAGCCTCTGGTCCCTCCCGTGGGATTCTGTCCGTGTGCATGTGAGATGGCCGGCAGCCAGCCCGAGTCACAGACCCCCAGCCCCGCACCCATAGTGGCTAGTAATAGATGGCTCAGCTCCCCCAAACCCGGCATACAGACCACCCCACCTGCCCCGACCAGGTGGCAGCCCCTCACTCACCCTTGGTATTCAATGTACTTGTAGATCATGCCTGCAATGAGCATGGCGACCAGGGCATAGTACCAGGAGGAGACAAACATAAGGGCCAGGCAGAGGCTCATACCCAGGAAGGACAGCGCCCTGGGCCAGAGTGGGGAAGGGCCAGAATCAGGGAAAGATCAGTAGGGTCCCAAGCCAAGCCTCCAACACCCCAATCTTTCACCAATAGCAACGCTACCCAGGAAACTCAAACCCCATCCTGGGGGGGAGCTCTTGGCTTCCCCCAAAATTCTTGTGTCAGAGGACTTGGCTCGGGTCCAGATGGTGCTTACCAGTGATAGTACTTGAACCGGGGCCGCCAGTTGGGTGTCCTCAGGAGCGTCTGCACAGCACAGGCCAGGTTCACGAACAGGTAACACATGAGAAAGAACCTGCAGCACAGGGAATGGCTGGTACAGAGCGGCCTCCTTGGCAGCCAGCTGCCCAACGTACCCGCCCTTCCTCAGGCTGGGCCTGGACTCGGAACTGGGAGTGTCGCGGCCCCACCCTGTGTGGTCAGGTCTCCTCAGCCACACAGCCTGAGGCAGATGGGCCTACTGTAGGGGTGTCCACAGAGCCAGCTCCTAGAGGACAGGCAAGCGTCTGCAGGCAGATGAGGTGGGAAGGGGGCTGCAGGCGGGAGGAACAGTGGCAAGAGGATGGTGCCGAGGAGCGCTCAGTGTCAGGAGATGGCTAGACAATATTCAGGCCTCTGGCCAGGTGACCAGTTGGAGGAAGGGCTGTTGTCAATGTGGAGAGAACCTCGAAGGAACTTGAAAGGGCCATTTTGCATGCCCTGGATTAGGGACACGTGAGGGACTCTGGTGGGTGTGGGAGACCAGCACATGGAAGCCTGCTGCGCCAGCCCTCCAGCTCAGGGGCACAGGGCTGAGGAGAGGGGGCACCAACCTCCACCTTCAGCTGGCAGGAAAGGAAGGGCAGAGAAGAAGGCAGCACAGCTTACTAGAAAAGGCATGCCAGCAGGCAGAAACCCCCAGGAGGGAGAAGTGGTCAGTCCCACTGGGGCCGCGGGGAAGAAGCACCCAGTAAAGGCTGAGCTACAGCCTTGGGCTTGGGCAGAGAGGGCTCACCACCCGATGAAGGTGGCAAGAACAGTTTCAGGTGTGCAGTTACGCACGCGTGGAGCTGGGCAGCAGTGGAGGAGGTAGGTGGAGGTGAGCTGGGGGAGTGAAAGAGCGCGATTCTTGCAGGCCTGGCTGTGGCTGGGGGGCTGCTTCAGGGGGAAGGGAGGACCTGTGAGGCCAAAGGCCGAGTGGGGCAGTGAGGGGTAGTCCAGTGATAGCCGAACAAGCACGAGGGAGTGGAACGAGATGTGTGAGGAGAAACGGAGTAGCACTGGCAGAGGGGAACATGGTAACCACGGGAGCTCTGCCTCAGGGACCCCCAGAAATTGCCACATGCTGACCAACTCGCACGGGGTACTAAGGGACTCAAATGCCCAGCTGACTCCAGGACTTTAAAAGTAAACAACTTTGAAAACAGATGGGCGGGGCAGTGGTGGCTTCATCAAGGCACTCTGGGCTGCCTGCTCTGGGATCTCCCACAGAGGAGTCTGGGACCTGCTGGTCTCTGCAAAACCCCGCATAAGTGCCAGGCTCACTCCTGTACCACCTCCATACCGAGGTAGGCTGAGTTCTGCCATGCACACTTCTCCCCACACAGCCTTACCCTGCTCCCAGCTGGACCCTCAACACCGGACAGGGGCACAGGAAGGTGCTGGGGCCCTGGAATGAGGGGTGCTGAGGGTACAGGAACCCTTCCCAAGACCATTCCCCTGCCCCAGCCCCCAGCTCACATGGATAGAATGGGGGCCACCATGTCAAGGGAGGCAATGAGGATGCCCAGCTCAGCAATGAGTGCCGTCAGGAGGAGTGCCCACGTTGGTTCACCATTTGCCTTTCCATGGCCAAATATCTGCATGCATCAGAGTCAGTGGGGTCAGCAAGGGAAGATGCTGGTCCCATCATCCCCATGCCACACCTTGGGCCACAAGCCACAGCCTGGCCTCCATCATCCCCAAGTCCGTCCTCTGGGGCTTAGGTCACATCCACAGCTGCCCCGATAGGCACCACAAGTTTCTCTGCCCTCCCATCTCTCCAGGCCTCTCTGCTGTAGATGAGCCATAAAAGGCCACGAGGATTCTGGGCCCAAGTAGCTCTGCCAACAGCAGAGCAGGGCAGGGCAGGGCAGGGCTGGGGCAGCGCTCCGCAGCTTCCCAAGGATGGCTACACGGCCCCGGAGCCACTATAGGCCCCAGCAAGATGCAATGCATCTATATCCCCTACCTCTCTACCCCCGCCAGTGTGAGAGGCCAGTCGCACCCATGCTGTGGGGGAGCGCAGAGAGGCTCACCCTGAGGAAGGGAATGATGTTGTCCTTGGCGATGGCCTGCAACAGGCGTGGTGCCCCAGTGAGGCTTTGCAGCCCGGCACCACACGTTGAGAAGAAGGAGCCGATTACGATGACCCAGGGCGAAGGCCAGGCCAATGTGCCCACCACCAGGTTCCTGCTGACGCCATCGCCGTACCTGCAGGGGCCAGGCTCAGGCCATGCTCCATGCAAGGAGCCCCCAAACCCTGGGGAGGGGGGGGGGCTGCCCAGAGTGAGAGATGTCAGCAGTCAGGAAGGATGGCTATGGTGGGCAGAGCCCTGGCCCCTCAGCAAAGAAGACGAGTTCCTCAGCCCCTATCCTTTCCCTCAGCCCAGCCCTGGTCCTGATGCCACCATCCTCTCAGAAGAAAAAGTCCTGGTGGGGCCGGACTCACCTGGTGGCACAGACCACCATTGGCAACCAGCAGGCTGAGGACATGTGTGGGACCACGTGTACGAGGGGAGCTGGTGTCAGGGCAGGCCAAAGCTGAGCCCCCTGCCACAGGGAGGGGCCCAGCTCACTCACTTGTCCCGGAGTACCACACCCTCGATGCAGGCGCCAAAGAGAACCACACTGCTGAAGTCTGCGGCCGCGTCAAGGAAAGCTAGGCCTCGGCTGCCACTGCTGCCCCCACTTGGCCCCCACACAGAACCCACGCGCCCCCTGCCCCGGCAGACAGCTGGGACAGCCCCTCGAGCGCATGCACGTGAAGAGTGAGGTACGCATGCGTCCACGCGTGTGTGGTGTGTGTGCGCCTGCGCAGACCAGGGCCTCCCGCCCGCGGCCTGGGAAAGGATACACACAAGGGAGGTTGTAACAATGGCCAGAATGGTCCCCACAGGGATGGACTTCTGGGCATCACGGAGGTCCCCGGAGCGGTTTGAGCCAGCCATAATGCCTCCAAAAACAACAAGACACCCTCAGGGGCTCCCCGGGAGCGAGGGCAGGGCCGGGGGAAGGGGGCACGGGCGAGAGGTACCCACCTGTTACGGAGGGAAAGAAGATGCCAACCAGCACGGTGAAGGATGTCGCGATGTCAGCCACCACGTACAGGGGCAGGCTCTCCTTCAGGCCGAGGGCATCTGTGGAAGGCAGCCCGTGCTTCTCCACGACCTCGCCCTTCTCCAGGTAGGTGCTCCACAAGTTTTCTGTGGGGGCAGCAGCGTCAGCACCGCAACCCTGCTTACTTCCCAGGGGCAGCGTGGGGCAGCCCAGCCAGAGGCTGCGGATGTAGGAGGCTCTAGGGGTTCGGAATGGGGGGGCAGCGTGGGCCACAGGGAAGGAGCTGTCTTGACAGAAGTCTGACAGGCAAAGGTGGCTGAACCACCATTGACCACAGCCTCGCCTCTGCCTGCCTCCTACACAGAGGCCTTTTATGGCTCCTAGGAGAACAATCCCAGGCAGGGTGAGAGGCGGGTGGCTGGGGAGAGAGGGGTTGCCAGAACTTTCTGGGGGCTGCTGCATGCCTGGGATACCGGCCAAACAGGCTCTGTTCACCCAAAACCTAGCTGCCAGGAACGAGACTGAGAGGACACTGCTGGGCCGGGAAGGCAGCCAGACCTGCCCCCCATCCCCGAGCTGGCCACACAAGGACAGCTCTGTGCTCCAGTCCCCTTCCACACTCGCTCCCCGCCGCCTGCTCAGCCCGTGCGTCAGAAGCAGGAGGACGGGAGGGAGAACGCACCCTGGAGCACACCAGCAGCTGCACCAGGGATGCCAGGGATCTCGGTCACATTGTTGACCAGGAAGTAGGGGTCACAGGAGTCAGCGGTAAGGTTAGGGCTGTGGCAGAAGAGGTTCCACAGCTGCGTGGCCACTGTCTCATTGTTCATCATGGTTGTCTTGGCACAGATGTCAAACTGGTCCCGGGACAGGGTCCTGTTGCCCAGCATGCATACTCTGTGGGGGGGGGGGGGGAAGCAGAAGCATCAGTACCTGCTCAGCTGGAGGGCCCAGTGTGTTCCCATCCTGCAGTCTCTGGGACTTAAAGGCCATCTACTTGGGAGGGATGTCAGTGCAATGCGTGGATGTATTCCCAGGTGACTTACGGAAACACAGGAGGGTCAAAAATTGACTTGATGCCCCCGGCATAGATGGACAGGATGGAGATGATCACACAGGCCAGGAAGAGTGAGGCAAATTTGTTCACATACTTGACACCAACAAACACCACCAGGGTCATGAAGGTCAGAAAAATGGTCCCATACACCCGCATATTGTTCAAGGTAGCACTCGATGTATCGTGAGCGCCTGTTGGGTAAAAAATGGCAGCTGGCGGGGCAATGTAGGTCTGAAACAAGACAGATAAAGAAAGGTTGAGCTTCCTTTTTGGAAAGCTATTTCTGTAATTTTGATTTTCTTTTTAAAAGAATATTCAGAAAAAGACAGTCACAAAAGACCATATATTGTATGATTCTGTTGATATGAAATATCCAGAATGGGTAAATCTGATTAGAGAAAGCAAATTAATGGTTGCCTAGGGCTGGAGGTGAATGGGGAATGACTACCAACAAGAATGGGATTTCTTCCTGGGGGGATGAGAATGTTCTAAAATTGACTGTGGTGATGGTTGCATACCTTTGTGAATATACTAAAAACCATTAACTTGTATACTTAAAATGGGTAGAGAATTGTATGGTGTGTGAATGATATAATTCAGACAGAGAAGTCAACCTGAATAGCTAAACAGTGAACAAATAATGATAGTACTGGATTATGAGCCAAAGAATAAATATCCAGGAGTCCATGCTGATAGAAAAACACAGTTAAATACATAAAGGGGGAAGAGGACACACTTTCCTTACAGAAGAAATCCAAATAATAAATGTAGGAATGTGGGATATGGAAAACAAAAAACAACCCCTCTCCCCCACCTCAGAAGATCCAGGAGCAGAGCCCTACTACAGGCAAAAGACCTGGAGGTGGGGATAGCCAGGCAGTTCCTCTAACATCTATTGTCTGAGGGGTGGGCACTTGTTACCCTGTGCTCCCCACCACCCCTCCATCTCTGCTCTACCAGCTGGGGCAATTCAGTGGGGAGGGGGAGGCTAAGTCAGAGCACACATGGGGCTCATGGAGGGGGCAAAGGTCCGGTGGTTGTTCACCCTTTTAGGGGCAAGGATAACATTGATCTGAAGGGCCTTGGTACAGAGCCCTGCGGGGAGACAGACTTGGCCAAAGCCTACATAAGCCCAGGAGGTAGGCTCTGCATGATCACCAAGATCACTAAGTTAAATGCAACAGTTGACAGACCACCTGCTACGGCTGAAATGGTGCCCAAGTAGATGGAACGCTCTGGGTCAAGGTGAAGGTAGCCAGGCCCCTTCCCTGCCTGGCCCAAACTGGTAAGGGGTTGAAGGGGAGACTGGAGTGAGCAAAGATCTTTCTCCCTTGAGAAGGCCTTCCACATTATAAGCCCCAGACTGTGGCCATAGGTGAGGGGAGCATGAGCAGCCTGGCCTAGGGGAAAGGGACTATTTGGACAAGACTGGAACTGGCCAGGGCTTAGCCTGACTCACCAGCAAGATCTCAATGGCACCGAGGATGTACATGGCTGCTGCAAATGTTGTTCCCAGGTAGAAGCACAGACCCACAGCGCCTCCAAATTCTGGCCCCAGCGAGCGGGAAATCATGAAATAGGAGCCCCCAGCTACAACAGAGAAAGTCAAGGCTGGGTTTTCTGCAAGGGGGTTTCCTCCAGGACAACCCCTCACAACCACCCAGGGTGACAGGGAATGTTTTTCCCATTTACAGATGAGCAGAGGGTTAGGAGGCTTGTGCAAGGCTGCACAGTTACTAAGTGGCTGGGCTGGGATTGAACCCCCTTCCCATCTGACTCCAACACCCAGCACGGGCCAGTGAAATGCCTGCTTTGCTAGGGCAGCTCTAATCCACAGCAGTACTCAGGTGGCCCACTGTCCCCCAACCCCTTGCACTCATGCCAGTCCCCACCGCCTCCTCTAGCTGGGTGTGGCCTATCTCAGCATGCCTCACCCCTCCCAAGGGCTGTGTCTGTTAGTCAGACCCCTCCGGACCAAGGCAAGGGCTGTGCTGTCCAGTTTTTTTTGTCTCCAGGGCCCAACACAGGGCCGGCCACCGGGCTAACCCTCCTGCCTTGAGACTGTGCTTCTATCAGGGTCTAACACCCCTGGCAAGATTGACAAAGTCAACACTGGGCCCCAGGGCTGGTGAGGGTGCAGGGGGACAAGAGTGACCCCATGTTGCTTGTTCAGTCTGCTCCTAATAAAACGTCTCTGGTGAAAAATCTGGGAATAGGGCTCCAAAGACTTTTAAAAAGTTAATCCCTTCCATGCTGTAATCCTACCTCTAGGATCCTCTCTTAAGGGAGCTGTCAAGGGCCTGAACAGAGAGAGATCTGTGTGCAAAGCTGTTCATGACAACGTTTACAACAGTGAAGAACCAGAACCCCAGGGTGGAATAATCACATAAATTAGGTAATATCCTATTGATCCTGTTTCTAACCAAATAAACTGCTTCTAACTCGGGATGGTGGGATTATGGGTACTTTATTTTTATTTATTTATTTATTTATTTATTTATTTTTTAAAGATTTTTATTTATTTATTTGACAGAGAGAGACACAGCGAGAGAAGGAATACAAGCAGTGGGAGTGGGAGAGGGAGAAGCAGGCTTCCTGCCGAGCAGGGAGCCTGATGCAGGGCTCGATCCCAGGACCTGGAATCATGACCTGAGCCGAAGGCAGACACTTAACGAATGAGCCACCCAGGCGCCCCTGGGATTATGGGTACTTTAAATTTTCCTTTCTATATTTTTCTTCACTTTCAAACTTTCTTACAGTAATCATATATTACATTTTTCTCCTCTTACTTTTATACTAATACTAATAAAGCTGTTATTTAAAAAAATAAATAAATAAAGACACAGAAGCCAACCTGAATAGCTGAACAGCCAAAGTGGAACAGTTTGAGCAACAAAATAAATAATGATAGCACTGGATTATGATCCAAAGAATAAAATACATATCCAGAAATCTGCATCAGTATAAAAAATGGTTGAATAGGGGCGCCTGGGTGGCTCAGTTGTTAAGCGTCTGCCTTCGGCTCAGGTCATGATCCCAGGGTCCTGGGATCAAGCCCCACATCGGGCCCCCTGCTCAGCAGGAAGCCTGCTTCTCTCCCACTCCCCCTGCTTGTGTTCCCTCTCTCGCTGTGTCTCTCTCTGGCAAACAAATAAAATCTTTTTTTTTTTTAAAAATGGTTGAATTGGGGCGCATGGGTGGCTCAGTCAGTTAAGCGGCTGCCTTCGGCTCAGGTCATGATCCCAGACTCCTGGGATCGAGCCCCGCATCGGGCTCCCTGCTCAGCAGAGAGCCTGCTTCTCCCTTTCCCTCTGCCTGCCACTCTGCCTACTTGTGCTATCTCTCTGTCAAATAAATAAAAAAAAAAAAGGTTGAATAAATAAATAAACAGGGTCTCTGAGAACTAAGTCCAATCTCATCATCCCTGCTGAAAATGAAAACCCTCTATATTGTCTATCCTATAATCCATAGTGTCTAGACTCCTTGGTGTGGGCCACCCGGTGTGTCCGATTATCTTGTCAGCCCCAGGACCCTTTTTTAAAAAATTACTTTTAGACTAAACAATCAAGACACAAAACATAACAGCAGTCTCAAATTCTGTCAAGCGAGGGTGCTCCTAAGTGTTGGTACTGTCACAGAGTCAGCTATTAAGACCTCATCAGACAACTGCTTGGGGGGAAGGAGGGCATGGGCTTGGTAATGAGGGTCCCCGGGCACATCAAGGTTGATTCTGGACCCCTTCCTCCCATCAGGCCTGGAGTGGCGCTTACCCACCTGGAACCACACCATTGGTGGCGATGGCGCTCATGGAGATGGCTGTCAGCAGAGTCTGTGGGAAGGAGGCCTAGGTGAGCAGCTCGGCTGGGTGGGCTCTGCGGGGTGCCTATGGCCCCCACCCCAGTGAGGATACTCACACAGCAGCAGCAGATGAGCACGATGAGGAGGGCCTGCAGCACACCGGCTGTGCCCACCATCCAGGTCAGCCGCAAGAACAGGATAACCCCGAAGATATTTTGCAGGCAGGGCAGGTACACCCCCATGAGGGTGCCCATGCTGGGTGCCTATGGAACAGGAAGGGAGGAGGGGAGCACAGAACATCAAAGGGGCCCAGATGCACCATGGAAGGCCAGCCCCTGGTCACTCAGAAGACTCCTTATCCCCGGGGTATTCTATCAGAGGATAGGCTGGAATCCCGAGTGTAGTCCTGGGGAGCATGGGGAGTGGGGTGACAGTTAGGATATCTATGCTGACTTCCATATGAAGACAGTTTGGGACTGGAAAGGCATAAAACCTGATTCTTTTTGAAAACCCCACATGTGAGCTTTTGAGCCTCACTTCCCTCTCAAGGTATGGCCCCCTTCCCTTCCTCTCTTCTGTTAAACTTCTAGAAACAAATCAAGATCTGTCTTGGATGCCCACCTTCTCACCCAGCAGGCCCCATGTCACCCATGTCAGAGTCCAAGAAGTTGTCCCTGGGACTCCCTCTCTCCAACCCCCACCTCCAGTCCCAGTGGATGCCAAGTCCTGCCCAGTCTGCTCTCAAGCTGCCCTGAGATCAGCCTGCCTTCCCTCAGCCTTAGTCCCTTGAACTTGGGGCACCACACCTGTGGCACCTGGACAGTGCCCCCCGTGCCTGTCGACTTCTCCACACTCCAGCCCACTCTGCTGCCAGAGCGGGTCTCTGAACACCAAGCCCAATCTCATCATCTGTGCTGAAAACCCTCTGCAGTGTCCATCCTGTAATTCAGTTTGGGCCAGATTCCCTGCTTTGGGCCACCAGGTGAGCCCCATCACCTTCTCTGACAGCTTCAGCCCCAGATGACATTGGTCCCTCACAGCCTCTGAACTAGGACATGTGCTGGACTCTGCCTGGAAGGGTCAGCCCTGTCTCATTGCCTGGCAAACTCTTCAGTTAAAACCTCAGGGGGCTTAACGGTTGCCTCTTCCAGGACATTCTCCTGGGTTGCCTTAGGTTGCCTTGAGCTGGTACTTCCTCTTGCATCCCCTTAATGCATCTGATATACATGGTAACTGTTCACTCGACTATCTCATGACTATACTGGGGTATACTCAGTTTGCTCACTTTTCTATCACCAGCAGGCCATGCAGGTACCCAAAAGATGTTCCTGAGCCCAGTGAGTGGTGCCTTGGAAGGCCTCTGGGATAACCTGCTGGGAAAATCCTGCATAGACAATAGAAACTCAAGCTGAAGGACAGGTGAGGAAGATCCAGTGGGCAAATCCAGACAGGATTTCTCAAATATCTAAGGGCAGACTAGGGGTCATCCAGGAGGCTAGGACAGAGGCTGAAACAAGAAGCAAGGCTAGCACCTTCTTGAAAGGTATCTTATGAGTGCAGCCTAGGGTAGCAGGGCCCTAAGAGCTTCCACCAGAGCCCCAGCAAAGCCTGCTGCCCTGGAGCTGGGGTGGGAGAGAGAACCATGTGGCCACAGGAACTCTACTGAAGGGTCTAGGTCTGGGGCAGGATCTGCGTGCAGCCTAAAAGGACCTCAGAAGGGCCTGGAAAGGCCGGAGTAAGAACAAATGGTCCCTCAAACCGTAGGTGACAAACACACCTCATCTGGGCTCTGAGCCCTTCACAGAGGCCCTGAACCACTCACTGGATAGTGGCAGCTCCCAGCCCCACGTCCATTCTAAGCTGAGTCACTGTGGGGAAAGGGCAGTGTGGGAAAGGGCAGGGCCGGAAATGCTTACTGCATCCCCAAATAACCTCTGGCAGCCTCCGAAGGTCATCAGGCCAGAGCCGGGGCAGCTGCCATGGAGAGGCTGCCTTAGGTCTGGTTGGAGGCCCACCCTTCCCGCTTTAAGCCTCCTTTCCTGAGGGCCCTGCTCAGACCCGTCCTGGGTAAGGATCAGAGCTCAGTAGTTCCAGCTCCCTAGATTCCTGCGGACTGGAGCAGCCTTCTTCCTCCATGGAAAAGCCACTAAAACTGAGATACTCTGCCATCCTCTTAATGTCCTAACCTGAGGGCCAGGTGAGCTGGGCAGGTAAGCCGAGGCTGGATCCCAGCATCCTGACAAGGCTCCTCATAGGCTAAGAGACCATGACCCTTCACCAACCCAGACTTCCTTCTGACACTCTTGTTGAGATGTGCACTAGTCTTTGTCAGGGACCTTTTTACTTCCAGCCACCAGCTCCCCAGATTTGGCCTGAAGGAGCAGGGAGGAAGCTCTCATCAAGGATCCTACCACCCACTGCAAGCAACACTCTAAGAGGCTGACACCCTCCTGCAGGGCTGAATAGGGATAGCCACAGACACTCGGGCTTCTCTGCCATGTGTGGTCCAGAAAATGCCAGCAAAATCAAAATCACAGCCAGCAGGATAGAGTGGGGGTCAGGTCTGTGTGACCTCAAGATCTTAGCTGCCCTCTCTGAAGCGGGGGCTGGTTTGCTTCCTGGAGGAGCAAGGGGAGGGGTGCACAACAGCCCAGTGTACCCTCTCCTTGGGCCACCCCAGCACGGCCCAAATTTCATGAGCAGGTCTGAGGCTGGGTCCTCAGTCTGTCCCAACCAGGAACTTCTGCCTGTGCTGACCTCCAGCAAGAACACTACAGCTAGTGCCAGACCCAAGCTCCTTTTATTTATTTATTTTTAAAGATCTTATTTATTTATTTGAGAGAGAGAGAGAGAGAGAGCCCGCGCATGCACACAAGAGTGGGGGGGAGGAGCAGAGGGAGAAGCGGACTCCACGCCAAGGGCGGAGCCTGACGCTTGGCTCGATCCCTCGACCCTGAGATCATGACTCGAGCTGAAATCAAGAGTCAGACAGTTAACCGACTGAGCCTCCCAGGCAGCCCTCAAGCTCCTTTTAAATCACAGCTGTTGGGGCGCCTGGGTGGCTCAGTCGTTAAGCGTCTGCTCAGGTCATGATCCCGGGGTCCTGGGATCCAGCCCGCATCAGGCTCCCTGCTCCACGGGAAGCCTGCTTCTCCTTCTCCCACTCCCCCTGCTTGTGTTCCCTCTCTCGTTGTCAAATAAATAAAATCTTTATAAATCAATCAATCAATCAATCAATCACAGCTGTTTCCCAAACCTCAGGGAGTCAGTAGGTGGAGAGGCAGGGCTCCTTGCCTCCAAACTGAAAATGTAGAAAAAAAACCCAACCTTCAGTTAAACTTGAGCCCCATCCTATAGGGGAGCTGAGCAAGGATGTGTAAACTCATCCTGATGAGAGAGGACAGCTAGATGGCCAGAGGCCTGGATAGCGACCAGGAATGGGGCTAGGAGAGGAATAGGGACGCTCCAAGAGGCAGTGTTATGTTCCAATCATCCCCCAACCTTGGCATTTGAGAAACCCAGGGGCTGTTGGAGAGGTCTGCCAGTGGAAGCAACACAGTGAGGGGCAGGTTTTGGTCACTGGGTTACATAGCCCCCGTGGACAACCAGGTTCCTGATGGAATGCCAGTGTTCTGGCCCTCTACATCATATATCCCACAGTGAATCCACAAATCCGTCTTCTAGTGTACGCACTCATCTTGTCTAGCTGAGTGGCCTTAGGCGAGTTACTTCATGCCTCTAACACTTAGTTTCCTTGTCCGTAAAACGAGGATGGAAGTAGGGCGTGTTTCACAGCTTTGTTGGGAACACGGCGTGGGAGAACCCAAGCCCAGTGCCTAGCACGATGCCTGGCACACAGAGAGGGCAGGGAAAAGGCAGCCGTCACTCTCACTATCGTTTCTGAGGGTCTTCTTGGCCCTCTGCCCCTTCTAGTCCTCTGCCCCCTTCAGAGGCTCCTCCTCAGCCCCTCACTTGAAGCTTTCTTGAGCCCAACGCACTCAGTGCCCATCGATGATCCATGCTTACCACACATGGTACCCACATCCCCTGGGATGCTGACAATTGCCAATTCCATGGTGCTGAGTCTGTCCTCCTAGGAATGGCCCCCCTACTGCCCCTGACCAGCTCACCTTGGCGGCTCTCCGGCGGGTGCCCTCCCCACTCTCAGCTTCCTCATGTTCCTTGGCGCCCTGTGTGAGGTTGGTATAGCTGACGAGCTTGCCCAGAAGAGACGATACCTTTGGGCGGATGTCCAGCTCTTCCTGTAAACAGAGCCACAGGGCAATCTGGCAATGGGCCTGGATGGTGCCAGGCTACTTATGTGTAGCCAGCCGCCTGCTCTGGCCCCTCGCCAAGCCCTCAGGCAGGCCTGGGCCTGAGCCCACTCTTGTGTGGGGCAGCCCAAGCCAGCCTACCGGGCAGGTGTGGGCACCACACCCCAGCACACGCCACTCAAAGGCCCAGCCCAGTGACTGCTTCTCTCTGCCTTATCTTGGCTACAATCGCTACCAGCCCATTTGCGAAAACGACCTGCCTCAGGGGTGAGGGCAGGGCAAGGCACAGCTGGCAGACAGGCGAATGGCACACTTCATCCTGCCTGTTCTGCCCGGCTACTTCTGGGACTCACCTCTGCCCTCAACTCTCCCACCAAAAAAGCCCTCTCAGCGAACCAAGGAAGTTGAAAGAGGATGTCTGGAACAAGTTAAGTCTCTCTTATTTGCCCAAACCCTGAGCCTCTCAGATGGTCTTCTCCCCAGGCCCCAGGCTTTGTAACACACCTCAATCCCCAAGGTAGGATCCTGGCCCCCTACCCATCTTCAGGTGGAGCCAAGTCAAAGCCTTTGCTGCAGAAACATGCCATTTTTCCAGGTCAGGAGGCCTCCCAGGGCTCAGGCTCCCCAACCCCCGCCTGAGTCTAGGCCTTCCCTGTTCCTGCACCCTTCCCAGCACCATCCCTCTACCTGCCCCTTGCCCATTTAGTCTTTCCCTGTCTGTCATCTCCCTTCTGACCCTACACACAAGGAGAAACTGGTTTGAAGTGAGAAGTGAAGATGCAGGTCTTTTGGGGCATGTGGAGACGGAGGAGCCCATGATATTCCAAGGGACAGCTGAACGTGTGGGTCAGCGTTAAGAGGCCTAAACCATGCCTTAAATCCAGATCCAACTTCTGAGCTTGAGTCTGAAAAGGATAAAATTCAAGTTCAGGGGCACAATATTGGCAATGTTTGCAGAGAGGTGCCCACTAAGGCTGCAGATGTGGAGAGAGAAAGTAGATCTAGTAAGAAGGACCAAGACTGTAAACATGAGGACAGAGTTAGAAGAGCCAACCAGGGAGGACAAGGAAAAGTTCACAGGAGAGGGAAGAATGAAAAGTCCTATGAGTAAAGGGAAAAAGGAAATCCCGAGGTGAGAAATCCTGACAAGTGGTCACCTGGCTGGGAGGCTACATGGAAATCAAAAGTACATACCCCTAAAGTGGGTGGTGTGGGGTTGTGAGTGGCCTCTGGGAAAGCAGTTTCAGTTCAAAGGGCCAAGGGAAACAGACTGAAGGAGGAGCTGAAACATAGGTGACACAACCGTCCAGACTGCCTGCTTAGCTAAAGCTTGAGTCCTGAAGGGCCCCTGCCCCCCACTCCCACCTGCCTGCCACACCTGTGGCCCAGAATGGCTCCTCAGCTACCTCAAACAGTGCCAGGTTCCTGTCGTAGTAGTCACTTCCTCTGGAAGCCTCCAAGGGACAAAGGAAAGGGCTGCTCTCTCTGTGGTTGCCATGTCCTATGGAGAGAGGGACAAAATCACAGTCAGGGGCTGCCTCCCGAGCCCCCAGCCTGCCTGCACCCCAGCCCAACAAGCCAGCCCACAAAACACATCTCTGTGGAGCACTTTAGGGGCCAGTGTACCAGGCTGGGCCTCAGTTTCCCCATCATACTCTGCCAGTCTCCATGAAGAGCCAGAATTAGCAGAGTGACTAATTACCAAAAGCCAGCGCATCACTTCCTCCAGGGCACCTGTGTGAAGGCCCCAGACACACTGGCTCCACCACGTGTTAACGCTGAGGGGCGGGGCCTGACGGGAGGGGCGTGGCCAAGTCCTGGCCGGCCCTCAGACCATCCCAGCCCCGCACCCCCGACTCCCATTTCCCAGGGCCATCTGCAATACCCAGCGTGCTGGGCGCCAAGGGCACAGCGTCCTCAGGGGCCGACTGGGCTCTGCCCTCTAGATATATGAAGCCACACAGGGGGCCTTCTGCGGCCATGGCCAGCTGGCCCCCTGCTCGCTATCCCACCACGCACTGCGCGGGGGCCGCCTGGAGGGCAGCCCGGGGCATGCTGGGAGGAGGGGCAAGAAGGGCTGTTCAGAAGGCGGAAGTGGTGCAAGGAGCCACGTAGGAACGCCTGAGAAAGCCCTACGAGAGAGCCGGGCCAGGTGGGTGGTGGACTAAGCAGGGACTACTGGCGGGAGCCCCGTTGGTCTCCCTGCCTCAGGTTCCAGCAGCTTGTCCCAGATTAGGTGCGAGGCCCATACCAGGCTACCCCTACCTACCCTCCGGGCTGGTGAGTGTCTCCGCTCCAAGTAAACGTCGCGTAAAGGAGCCAGATGCGCCTTGTTTAATAGGCCTGCCTCGACTCAAAGCTCAGCTGCTTTTTCTGGTTTCTCAGCATTCAAATACTCCCGTTTCCCAAACTTTATCCTTTGTCAGTCTCTGTGGGGTACATTCCCAGTTTTCCATCGAGCAGGGAGAGGACACCCAGGTACTCCTTTTCTAGTCATTAAGTGCTTTTGTCCCCCTCTAGACAGTATGGCAGCTGCAGGAGTGGCTGGAGGCCTCATAGCAAATGGAAAGCTATCATCTTGGTTCACAAAAGCCATTTGGTGTTGGATGGCAAAAACGTGGCAACAGAATTGTCATCACCGATCCAGACTAGTGGAGTATTCCAGCCATGCACTGGCCAAGCCTGATTTTGTGAGAGATACCTGCCAACCCTCTCTGGTTAAATAACCCACAATTCATTTCTCTTGTTTGCAGCTAAAAATGCTGAATGATGCATCCTCCATCTGATACATTCTCTTGCCATCGGTGTAAGAGTTAACTTGCCTTCCCTGAGCCAACAACACTCAGTAGGTGCCGCACTGTGGATTCCTCATTGCCCAGAGACTGACAGGTAAAGTGTGTTGAAGAAAATTTTGGGGGCAAAGTCAGCTCTTCATTCCCACAGCATGTGAAAGGGATATATCACCTCATCTAGGAACCTGGACTAGCTAAGTGAGCCAAGGGAGCCAAGCAGCTCAGTCCCGTGAGCTACACAATTGTGTGCAGGTCAATGCCAACAGCACAGTGGACAAAGACAGCAAGCAAGAGGTCAAGCCAGACCACTGAGTCATATTAAAGCCTCACGGGGTCATTTGGCTCCTCAGACACCCTATGACATTTGCTGTACCCTTGATACTTGTTCAGGATCAGGATAAGAAGCTATAAGAAAAATCAGAAAACCCAGTAACACTGCTCGTTACATTAACGGCCCTTCAGTGAGAAGCTTCAGAAAAGTACTCTTGGGTTTTGTGACCAAAAAAAAAGTGTCTCTCCCGAATAAGTCAGATGCTTCATTTTGTCAGAAAATGGCAACTGTAGAGCTCATCTTATTTCCCTTCCTGCCTTGGCTGCCAGGAATCTCCAAGCTAAATTTACTCCTTAGATACAGTCACCATCGGTCTCATCTCAGAGTCCTTACCCTCTTCCTCTTTATGGTTATGATCTTTCTGACTGTGACAGTGCTTTGGGGAGACACTTTTGTTGCATTTATCTCTTCTGACTCTTTTGTGGAAGTAGGCTAGAAATAAATTATAAATTGTGCTAAGCTCATGCACTGCAGCCTGTCCCACCATTGTTGCCTGTCTCTGTGAGGAGACTGCACTGGTATCCAGAAAATGCAGAGTTGAGCACATAGCAGCCGTTCCCCCCCACCCTGCCAAATGCCTGTGAATAGTCCTCCAAAACCCACCCAATCCTTGTCCCTTTGGCCATGACTCCAGAGTGGCTGAGAGCCCATCCAAGGGTTGCCTTTAGTCAGCAGCACTCCAGTAGATACCATTTATTCCCTTTTAGTAACAAGGAAAGTGAGGCTCAGAGAGATTCAGAGACAAGGGCACCCAGTGAGAGGGGCCAAATCTGGGTCCCAGGATCCACCAGAATCAGGTGGGAGCTAAGCTGCAGGTTTCCTACTCCTACTCTTCTGGGCCCTGGTTCATCCTGGGATGCACCTCAGGATGCAGTACAAGCCTTTAACTAGAGAGTGGCTGGGGTTTGCAGTTAGCCCAGGGTGCACATACCCAAGATTCTTGGTGCTCATATGGCTGGCAGCCCAGCTTGAATTCCAGACCCTCCCTCTCTGTGACCCAGGGCAACCTGCTTACCCTCTCTGTGCTGCTTTAGTTTCCTCTTCTATGAAGTAGAGATAGTAACACCCACTCTTCCAACAACCCAGATGCGTCAGAAAAGGAACAATCTGGTACCAGACACCCAGCAGTCATTCCCTGGATTTCCCCAAAGATTCGCTTAAGGACAGCTGTCGTGGAACTGTGAGGAGGTGGGGAGACCTGAGCAGTGCCTGGATGTCTGTACTGCCCTCCGCTATTCCAAAAATTCCAGGGCAGGTCTGGACATGCCTGCCAGGCCAGAGCTACTCAGATACCAACCTGAGACCCCCAGTGAACCAGAGCATGGCGTAATCCTGGGGACTACGTGTGAGGTACACATATCTGTGTGTTCTTGCTAGCAGCTATGAACACACCAGCTACAAGTGGGGAAACAGGTGAGAGTCCTCATCCCTGTGCTCACAAGCATCTGCCAGGGGTACCCTTCTAGAACCTTCCTACCCCCTGCCCACAGGCCATATTGGGCTGGATGAGAGGCCCATCTATACCCCTTGGAGCATAAGTATGGGCCTTGAGAGATTCAGGTACCAGGCTGGAGTGGCCCCATGAGATGGACCTGAGGCTGTTTTTGTGCTCCCTCACCCTTTGCAGTCCCCACCAAGAAGGATCATAATCACTCACCAGGGCGCAGAGCGTCCCCCATACTGCAGACACAGCCAAGTTCTGGCTGAAAAGGAGCAAGAGGAGAAGGGGGGGGGGGGTTGTGGGAGGAGCTGTCTCAGCTTGGAGGGACCTGGCAGGACTCAGCCAATGTGGCTCCAGGTCCCTCCAGGCACCCTGAGAGGCCAAGGCGGGGCCAGAGGCTAGGCTCAGCTCTGCTTGCCCACTGGTCCAGGTGGATCCTGGGGATGCAGCCCCGCCCAGCCTCTGTAAAAGAGCCTCCCCGGGCTAACAGGGAGTCAGGGGACACTGGCTCTTGCTGACCACTGATGTCTAGCAGCCCACACCACTGTCCTGTGGCATCTTCACACACAGCAGTCAGGTGTGATACAACTTGACACTTGCACAAGCACACATATGCTATTTGTACAGACATGTTTTCTAAGAGAGTCCTAGCAAGGACAGCTCCCCACCCCTCCCCTGGGGTGGGAGATGGAGAAAGGGGTTGGGAGAGGCAGGAACCTGGGAGAAGGGAGGAGGGACCACCTTCAGGCCCAGTTCTAACACCTAGGTTGAAGGTTAGGGTGCTGGAGTTTCCAAGCCTGGGTTTGAATCCCCTGGGGCAAATTTAATAACTGCTCCACTCAGTTCACTCCTTCCTCAGCATGAGTAACAGGACCTATCCCATGGGCGAAACTGGGAGGATTAAACGAGTTAATTCATGTGAAGCGCCTAGACAAGCCTGCTTCTGTGGAGCGCTCCACAGATGCCCACTGTACCTACAGCTCTAAGGTGGCATCAGCTGGAGTGCACTCACAGGCAGTTACCCAGAGACCCCCTCAGGCAGGCACAACCTTCTTTCCTGGCTACACGCAGCTGGGGGTGGGGGGAGAGGAGAGAGGGTAGTCTCAGGGGCAGAATCGCTGAAGCGCAAATGGGTAGGCGAGACGAGAGTAGGCTAGGAGAGGTTCACAGAAGGTGTTGGGACTGGGGTCCGGGATGCGGCTGTGCTCCCAGGCGGGGAGGGCCAGAGACGGGTGCTCGGCGCTATTCTCGATCTGGGCGGCCCCGCCGGCCTGGCCTCCTTCGTCGGCCACGTCTGCAGCTCCCGCCTGCGGCCCGCAAGGGAGGAGCTGGGGTGGGGAGGGCGGCCCAGCCGCGGGTGCCGGGGGCCCAGGAAAATAGTGTCTGCGCGCCCGGAGCAAGGGAGGTGGCAGCGGCGCAGACTAAGAAAAGTTGGGCCCGCATCGACGTGTGCTCGCACGGTTCGGGTGTCTATGCGAGCGCCGGCCAAGCGTGGCCCGCTCCCCCGCCCACCCCCCCACCCCCCGCGCCAAGGCCCCCACCGGGAGCGCCCTCACCGTCCGAGTCCTCCCGCTCCGCGCGCTCCCCGTAGTCCACCCAACTGAGACCCTCGAGGTTGTCATAGTCGCCGCGCCTCGGCCCGTCCACCGGCACCACGGTGAAGTGAGGCATCGCCCGCGCTCGGCCCCGCCGCCCCGGCTGCCGGCCCGGCTGTCCCCGCCGCCCCTGGCCGCCGCGCCCCGCCCGCTCGCATTCCTCCCCGCTGTGCTCACTTCCTCCGCCCGCCCCCCGGGCCGCCCCTCGGGGGCGGGGGAGCAGGAGGGGCTCGGGCCAGCTCCTCCCCGAGGGGGGCCTAGGCGAAGCGAACCCCCCCGCCAACCTCCCCGCAGCCAGGCAGTGCTACTAGCGGCTCCAAGCCCTGCGGAGAGCCCGATTCCTGTGTGACCTTGGTTGAGGGACCGCCCTCTCTGAGCCTCAGATGCGATACTTGTAAAACGGGGAAATGCGCTCCACGAGATGGGGCGCGGGGTGCACTGGCTCTGCGCTCTGTGCCTAGCAGGCGCCCAGTAGACAGTTCTGTTACTCAGGACGGGAAAGAGTAGGCAGGATCGGAGCAGGAGCGCACAGGCCATCCCAGTCCTACCCAGAGCCTCCCGCCATTCCTGGGTATCCCCACCCCATTCCCATCATCTCTGTCTCCCACTTTTCTTCCATGTCTCTGTAAACCGAACCCCGCGAGATGCCGTCCCTACCCCGCGCCCCTCACTGCAGTTTCTCCCTGTTAGAGGAGGCTGGAGATTTCATGCCCCTTCCAAAAGCTGCTGCCTCCCTGGCGGGAAGGGTACCCATCCCCCTCGGCCGCCCCGTTGGTCCCTTTGGGACACTACATTGGGTTCTTTAGTCAAGTTCTTTTATCTTAATTTTCTCTTTTACTGTTTCACCACCTGGGGGTTCCTTTACCAAGTCGTTTACTTATTTGCTCTTAACTTTTTTCTTTCACTTTCTACTCCACTGCTTCAGATAACTTATCCATATTGGCTTTACTTTAACATCTTTATCTTTCTAGGCTATCCTTTCAGTTATTTCTCTATCAGAAAACCCCAGAGCTCATCTGACTTGTCTGTCTCCTTTTTCTCCCTCTCTTTTATGGCTCAGAGAACTTTAGAACATTAGTGAAGAATTAGTAGTATCTCTCTGACTGCTGCCTCCTCCTGGCCTCAGCTCTGGGATGGAATGAGGAATCAGAGTCTCTGGGTCCTGCAGGAGGACCTCCAAGGTGACCACCACTCTGGCTCTTACCCCACAGTCATCCGGCCAGAGCCTGTCGACTTGACCTCTCGTCCTTCACACCGCCTTCAGCTGTGCACAGTAGCAGCCTTCCAGATGGACTCCCTGTTCTCTCCCACTGCTCATGGTAGAGCCACCTCTTCTGAAGAGAAAGCCCATGCTCTTCTCTTGGCCCACAAGGCCCTGCTCCATCTGGACCCTCCAACCTCCCCAGCCTCAGTCTTCTGGCCTCTTTCACTTCCCCAAACTCAGAGCCTTACTGCATATTACCTGCTGTTCGCTCTGACAGAATGCCTTTCTACCCTCTGCCCTCACTCTGACTAACCAAACTCCTTGGTATTAGGGGAGGTCTCACCCTGGAGTACCACTTCCTCTCCAGAAGACTTCTCAGACTCACATCCGTCCACCCCACCTCACCCTCCTCTGGATTGGGTTCTTCTTAGGCACTTTCCCTTCACAGTACCCTCTGCAGGGAGACATGTGTTGGTGGGAATCTTTGATTAACGTTTTTCATGCCCACTAGACTGTGGACTTCACAAGGACAGTACCCTTTTGGTCTTGCCACCTTGGTATTCTCAGTCCCTCCCCCCAACACATCTTTTGAATAAAGAATGAACAGGAGCCCCCTCTTTCCTGTCTTCCCTAATGCTCTGCAAAGGTTCCTGTACACCCCTACATGCAGTCTCTCCTCAGGGGTGCGGTCACGTTCTGTGTGAGGAGATAGGCCACTGCACCCCAACGGACAACCTTGGACTCCGAGAGACTCTGTGGCTAGGATACAACTTCCCCCATACCACTGACTGTCCAAGTATCCTGTACCATCAGGGTACTCGCAGGCAAAAAGAAAAAGACATTTGAGGAACACAGACATTTCAAAAGAAAATTCTTCAAACACATGGAACAAACATTCCAAATTAGCCTAATAAGCATTATAAGAGATAAGGGAGAATATTAGCAATATGAAACAAGAAAATATTAAAAAAAAGCACAGGCAGAAATATAAGATATGAAAAATATAATTGTTCTGTGGTCTATTGCTACATAATAAATTACCCCGAAACAACAATGGCTTAAAACAACAATCAACAAAAACATTTGCTCATAGCTCTGCTAGTTGAGTAAAGCTCATCTCTACTCCATATGACATCAGCTGGGGCCAGAGGATCCCTTTCCAAGATGACTCACTCATATGGCTAACAAGTTAGTACTGGCTGTAGGCTGAGAGCTCAGTGGGGCTGTGGATCAGGGGATTGGGTTCTCTGCATGAGTACTTCTCCATGGGCGGCCTGATTTCCTGATTGCACAGTGGCTGCAGTCCATGAGTGAGCATCCCCAGAAGCAGGGAGTAGAAGCTGACAGTTTCTCTAGGCCTAGGCCTGGAAACAGGAACAGCATCATTTCTGCTGTATTTTATTTTATTTTTTTGTTTTTTGAATAATTTTTTTTTAAAGATTTCATTGATTTATTTGACAGAGAGTGAGAGAGCACAAGCAGGGAGAGTGGCAGAGGGAGAGGGGGAGGCAGGCTTCCCGCTGAGCAGGGAGCCCCATGTGGGGCTCGATCCCAGGACCCCAGGATCATGACCTGAGCCGAAGGCAGATGCTCAATCGGTGCCCCATCTGCTGTATTTTACTGCTCAAGCAATAACCAAGCCCAGAGTCAAGAGAGAGTGAAGAGACACTGAATCCATCTCTGGATGGGAGAAGTATCAAAGGAATATGGGACCATGTATTATAAAGTTACCGCAGGGGCACCTGGGTGGCTCAGTCGGTTAAGCGGCTGCCTTCAGCTCAGGTCATGATCCCAGGGTCCTGGGATTGAGCCCCACATTGGGCTCCTTGCTCAGTGGGGAGCCTGCTTCTTCCCTGCCTGCCACTCTGCTCTCTCCCTCTCTCTCTAAAAGAAAAAAAAAAAAACTTACCACAATAATATTTGAAACAAAGGACACCATAGGTGATCTGGTAGCAGAAAGCTACAGTTGAGAATGAATTAGTAAACTGGAAAGACCAAATTAAGCAGTCCTCCCAAAAGAAGAATGAAAAAACAATGAAAGGGAAGACAAAAAAGAGATGGAGGATGGAAACAGAAGTCCTAATATCTACACAATAGGATTCCCCAAAAAAGAGTAAAATAAAAATAGGGGGAAAGTACAACATGAACAAGCCTTGAAAACACACTAAATGTAGGAAGCCAGACACAAAAGGTCAAATATTGTATGATTCCATTTGTAAGAAATATCCAGAATAGGTAAATCCATAGAGATAGAAAGCAGATTGGTGCTTGGGGGAACAAGGGGATGGGAAGTAACTGCTTAATGGGTACAGGGTTTCCTTTTAGGGTGATTAAAATGTTTTAGAATGAGATAGGTGGTGGTCGCACAACATTGTGACGGTTCTAAATGCCACTGAATTATGCGCTTTAAAATGGTTAGTTTTATGGTATGTGAATTTCACTTCAATAAAAAGATTGCTAAAACTATAGGGAGAAACTGATAAATACACAATCACAGTGGAAGATTTCAACACAACCATCATGGTTACTAAGTGGTCAAGAGAAAAACAGCAAGGGTATAAAAGATTTTAACAATATAATTAATGAACTTGAACTAATGGACATGTGTATAGTTCGACATACAACAATTGGAAAATTCCATATTTTTGTCAAGTATGCTTGGAACATTTACAAAAACTGATTATTGGTTGTGAGGAGTATCTCAGCAGAACTTCTGCTTCCTAGCATAATGGCATAACAGGGGCCAAATTCACCTCTCTGTAAAATAAAGAGAACTCCTGACAAAATGTATAAAACAATGATTTTCAGACATTGGACAATGGGTAGTACAGGATTGTGATCCCAGATGAAAGGAAAATAAAAATGATTTGAGCCCTATGACAGCACTAGCTTATTGCCTAATTTCCAGGCTGTAGCGTGGGAGCGCGAGGAAGGGTGGGGAACCTAAATGGAACCCAGTGGTCTTGCTGCATTGAGGAGAAAAAAAAAATCAGCTTTTGGGAAGACCAAAGCAGAGAGATTTGCAGGATAGAATACCAGAGGAGGAAGCTGCACAAAGAGAGAGGGCTGGAGATCTGTAGCAGGTCCTCTTGAGTCCACCAGAGAATTGATCTGCAGACATATAAGAGGAAGCTGTCAAGGCCAAGGAAAGAACCACTGGAAAGAAGTAGGCTCCACAATTCCTGCAGCTCACATAGTTCATGTTCCCACCAGCTACAGTGAAAGACCTTTTAATATACGGGGCATTAGCTAGACTCTTCATAAGGACATTGCCTCATCAGGCTAGTTTAGCCCTAGATGAAAAAACAGTTGTCCTAACAAAGCACTGAGGTCACCCTATAGAAGTGGGACCGACCCACCCTCCCTAAAATATGGTTCAGATGTCAAGACTACACACACTCCGAGAGAGTTATAGAAACGTTCATTACTCACATAATGAGGCTTTCTGGGGAGAATAGGATGAACTTCCAACCTGGCCCAAAAATGGTTTCATAGAGGTGGGAAAGGACACTGACTTGGAGTTTATGGACATACATACAGCCTATAAGCACTGGAGAAGATGCTCATCATTAGTCACTAGGTAAATGCGCATCAAGAACACAATGTGAGGTTGGTGGTTGAGATACCATTTCACACCCTTTAGGTTAACTATCACCAAAAAAATGGAAGATAAGTGCTGGCAAGGATGTGGAGAAACTGGAACCCATGCATATTGCTGGTGGGGATAGAAAATGGTACAGCTGGCTGCCATTGAAAACAGTTTGGCAGTTTGGCAAAAAGCTAAACACAAAATTAGCATATGATCCGGCAATTCTATTCTAGGTATATACACAAAGGAATTGAAAGCAAGGACTTGAACAGATGCCTGTATGCCATTGTTCACTGCACAGCTGAAAGGTGGAAGCAACCTTAGTTTTCATCGACAGATGTGTGGATAACAAATTGTGATCTGCCCATGCAAGGGAATATTTTTCAGCCATAAAAAAGGAATGAAGTCTGATATATGCTACAATGTAGATGAACCTTGAAGACATTTGGTTCAATGAAATAAGCTGGATGCAAAAGGACAGATGTTGTATGATTCCACTTACAGAAGTCAGCTAGAATAGATAAACTCATAGAGCCTGGAAAAAGAATAGAGGTTCCCAGGGGCTGAGGTGAAGGGAAATGGGAAGTTATTGCTTAGTGATTAGAGTTTTTGTTTGGGATAATGAAAAAGTTTTGGAAATACCAATGATGTTTGTACATTTGTGAGTGTAATTAATGCCACTGATTTGTACACTTAAAAATGGTGAAAATGAGGGCCATTTGGCTGGCTCAGTCAGTGGAGCATGTGACTCTTGATCTCAGGGTCAGAAGTTCAAGCCCCATGTTGGGTGTAGAGATTACTTAAAAATGAGATCTGTATTTTATTATTTTTTAAGATTTTCTTTATTTATTTTAGGGAAACAGCACGTGTGCATGTGTGAGCAGGGGGTGGGGGAGGAGGTAATCTTTTTTTTCCCCAAGATTTTATTTATTTATTTGAGAGAGAGAGAGAAGGAACAGTGGGGAGGGGCAGAGGGAGAGGCAGGGAGAGAGAGAGAGAAACAGACTCCCCGCTGAGCAGGAAGCCCGATGTGGGGCTCGATTCCAGGATCCGGAGATCATTACCTAAGCTGAAGTAAGGCACTTAACCTACTGAGCCACCCAGGCGACCCTTTTTTTTTTTTTTTTTAAAGATTTTATTCATTTATTTGTCAGAGAGAAAAAGAGAGAGAGCACAAGCAGGGGGAGTCGCAGGCAGAGGGTGAAGCAGACTCCCTGCTGAGCGAGGAGCCCAATGTGGGACTCCATCCCAGGGCCCCAGGATCATGACCTGAGCCGAAGGCAGATGCTTAACCAACTGAGCCACCCAGGCATCCCAAGAGAATTTTTTTTTTTTTAAGATTTTATTTATTTGAGAGAGAAAGCAAGAGAGCAGAGGGGAGGGGCAGAGGAAAAGGGAGACAGAGAATCCTAGGCAGACTCCCTGCTGAGTGCGGAGCCCTATGGAGCTTGATCTCATGACGCTGAGATCATGACCTGAGCTGAAAATCTGAGTCAGATGCTTAATCGACTGAGCCACTCAGGCACCCCTAGTCTTTTTTTTTTTTTTTTAATTGTGATATAATTGACACATAAAGTGGTGTAACTAGGGCATTTTCTAAGTATCTGAGTTTGATGATAACACTTTCTTCTTTTCCTGTTTAAAAGCTCAACCTGAGGATACATCCCTGAACATTAAGTTTAGCCTTTTCTGGTTTTTATTTTGCTTTTTAAGTAGGCTCTATGCTGAACATAGGGCTCGAACTCAAGACCCAGAGATCAAGAGTTGTGTGCTCTCCCGACTGAGTCAGCCAGGCATCGCCAAAAACCTTTTTTTTTTTTTTTT